TCTGTTGTGCTGCGCTTGCGACAAGGGTTCCCTCCGGTATGCTCTGCATTGGAACCATGGTTGGCTTCGTACGTTTGTCCAGGTGCTTTGCCAGCACTTGGTCGATGTACCCTGACTGACCAATCGTCATGGTGCGCATCGCACGGTCTCGACTGATTTTGATGCCCAAGAAGTGAGAGACCTCACCACTATCTTCCATCTTCCATCTCTGACCAATCTGCTTCTTAACCTTTAGGACCGTTTCCAGCTGTGGTGCTATGACTAATGTATCATCGACGTAGATGACCACAATGGCCATATCTTCACCCTGTCCCTTGGTGTAGATGCAGGGAGCGCACTCTACCTGGAAGAATCCCATGCGTCGCAAAGACCTGTCGAACTCCTGATTCCATTCTCGCCCAGACTGCTTTAGGCCATATAGGCCCTTGACTACCTTGTACACCTTGCCGGGTGCTACTCCTGATCCTTCTGGCGGCTTCATGTAGATTGCTTCCTTTAACGTGGAGTTCAAGTAAGCCATAGTGATGTCCAGAGCATGTACCTCCCAGTTGTTCTGCACCGCTAGTGCTAAGATGGCTCTGATCGCTCCGAGGGGTGCTACTGGAGAGAAGGTTTCTTGGTAGTCAATCCCCTCTCTCTGTGTGAAACCCCTTGCAACCAGTCGCGCTTTGTGCTTAACAGGTACACCGTCAGCATCAAGCTTCAGCCGAAGCACAACCTTAGAGTCCACAAGTGGTACTCCTGGTGGTTGGTGCACCACCTCCCAAGTCCCCATTGCCTCAAGTCCTTCTAGCTCCTTTCGTATTGCCTCCTTCCAGAGCTGGGCGTCCTCACCATTCATTGCTTCCCCAAGCGTTGGGTCCAGGTTCAGTATTGCTGTGTTGGCGGCACCCACTGTGCTGTCTACGGCTGGTAGGAGATCCTCCACTGCAGTCTCTGATCTGGTCTCCTCCTCTACTATGGCTGGCGTGACACCCTCCTCCTCGACCTCCACGGTCACCATGGGCCTGACTGCCTCTTGTTGGCGATCACTCCATCCTTTGTCCTCATGGAATGTTGCTGAGTTGCTCCATTGAATTGACGCAGGCTGGTCCAGGTTGCAAAACTTCCATGCTTTGTGTTCGTCGTCATACCCAATCATGATGGCTGGCTTTGCTCTAGCTCCATGCTTGCCTTGCTGGTCCTTCTGTTGAACATGAACCCATGCCAAGCATCCGAAGACTCGCAGTTGCTGGGCCAGCTTGTGCGCGGTGGTTCCATAAAAGGCCTCGTGGGGAATGGTTTTGGTGGCTGACGGGGTAAGGTTCATCACGTGTGCTGCTGCTGTGATTGCATACGGCCACAACTCTCTGGGGCAAGCTCGACCAATCAGCATCGAGCGCATCTTTTCTTGGACCGATCTGATTGCTCTCTCCGCCCGTCCATTTTGGACGCTGATCCCCGGGACGCTCTTTTGCCACTTAAAACCCTCTTGAGTTTGCCAGTCTTCGGCTGCTATGCTGCACCATTCTCCTCCATTGTCGCTGCGGAGTGTTTTGAGTTTCCTGTCCATTGCCCGTTCCATCCTGGCTATCCACCTTCTCAGCGCTGTGAGTGCGGCACTCTTTGTGCAGAGTGGTTCCACGTAGATCAGAGAGGAGAAGTCGTCCACAGCAACTAGTGCGTAGTGGTAGTTGGCATGTCCTTTGAAATCTGTCATCAGGTCTATGTGTACCAGCTCTAATGGTGCCTCCATTCTTTCCGACTCTGATTGGCTCATCCGTGCTCGAGTCTGTTTTCCTTGACTGCACGCGTTGCAGTGCTTCGACTCATGTTCCATTTCCTCATCGGTACCTAGGTAATGGGCCCGGATTTGTCTCGTTTTGTCTCGTCCTGGGTGTCCGAACCTCTCATGCCATAGGTAGCTGTCTCGATGCTTCATGTCCTTATTGCCCTCTGGGGCATTATCTAGTTTTCCTGTGTTCTGGTTGTCCTCTGGGACGCCATCTCGTGTTTCCTCCAGTTCCAAAACCAGTGCTTGTCCTCGCACTTTGAAGTGGCCCTGTCTTCTGTCCCTTTTGAATTGTACTTGGGTACCATCGTTCTGCTTTATGGTAGTTCCAAACTCATCAAAGATTACTCGTGCACCATTCTCGATCAAGCCTTGTACGGACAATAAGTTAGCATTCAGTTTCGGTACATAAAGCACATCCAATAGTTGGATGGTGGCCTCACCGACCCGAAGGGAGGCATCTCCTATAGCCTTCACCTGAAGCTTTTCGTCCCCTGCCGTACTGATTTGGCCGACCTTGTTCGTTGAGGTGAGCAGCATTCTCTCATCATTTACCATATGATGGGTTGCACCTGAATCGATGATCCAGGTGTCGCATGCTGATCGCTCGCCCCTGTCGACTGCTAGAAAGGTGCACCCGAGTTCCTAGTGGTTCACTTCTTGTGCCAGATTGGGGGTGGGTCCGTCTCTACTAGGTGCGGGGTTATTGTTGGTGTTCGTGCAGTTTCGAGCAATGTGATTAGGTCCTCCACAAGTGTAGCACTTTGGAGGGGCCGAGGGGTTGCGAGGATCGCGCCTGCCTCTGGGTCCTTGCTCCGCCTGGTCCGTGCTTGTGGCAACCCTTGCTGCTCCTCTAATACGGCCGGTGACCTCACCATCCTGCTGTTTCTTGGCGAGTGCGTGGTAGGCTTCGTCATATTTACAGTCTGGTCTGGCCGTTTTCAGTGTGTCGATGGTGTTGGCATAGAACCAATCTTGGGCCGTGCAGCGATAGAGAGTTGATTTCTTGAGGTCCTCGTCGAAACGCTTTCCCAGGCGTGCCGCATCGTTCCAGATCGAATCGAGTTCCTTGCCTAGCCTGACAACGTCTCGATTGTGCAAGCGCACTGTGTGAATACAATCCTGCAGTCCTGCTCGCTTTACAGCGTCGTTCAACGTTAGTGCCTTCTTGAGTTTGGCATAGAGTGTGCTACCGAGTTGGACTTCTTCATCCACTCCCCTAACGGTGTAGGTGTCGATACGGCTGTCTGGACTGTTGTCACAGCAGGCGTGGATGAGGCCCACGAGGGCTTTATCCAAGTCTTCGTCGTATTCCTCGTTTCCAGGCGCTACCGTGCCATACAGTATCTCCTTCGCATTATGTACTCTTTGGAGGCAGTCGATGAAGGTAGGTTCCCAAGTGTGCCAGTTGCTGTCGCTGAGCTTCTTGATGTGCGCAATGGCGCTCAACACCTCCTTGGGGATCTTCTCGGTTTCCCTGCACGGGGTCTGGTTGCTAATGCTGATGAGACCCATAGCTCGTATGATTGCTTCCTCGGCCGTTAGTGCTGGGTTCGCCAGCTGGAGGATCCTGACTACCTGCGTGAGCCATCCTTCCTCCTGTCCGTTGCTTGGGGTCGTTTGATCATCATCGCCCCTTCCCGTCTGTCCAGCTCTTGTCGATGGCGGCATTGCGTTGAGTGTCAGACTCTTAATCAGTTGAAGTCCTTCGTCAGTGCATTGAAGTCATTCGTCAGTGCGTTGGAGTCAGTCGTCAGTGGTTGGAGTCAGTCGTCAGTGGTTGATGATGATGGTAGGAGAGAGAGAGAGAGCGAGAGAGCTAGGAGTCTATATATACAAAAGAAGAGCGGCGGAGAGCCGCATTGACTGCGGAGCATAACAAAGCATTTGCCTTGAGTAGGTTGTGACACATGTGGTTCGTGCTAAGATGTTAAGGCCTTTTACTCGGCCGTAAGCACTACCTTCACTGTCTCCACGCTTTGTGCGGCTTTATCTACTTCAACTGAATGTGCTGCGATTCTCCTCATTTTTCCCTGTGAACGTGAGATCCTGGTGCTTCTCTTCCGTATCCCTCCGCTTCTGCGCCCTTTACTTCTTAGGGGAGCATGCCTCGCCAACGACCAGCGAGTCCCGTCCTCGAACCGGAACCGGCAACGGTAACGGCACCATGATCAGCAACCACACGAGCACGAGTAGCGGGGGTTTGTTTGACAGCGCCATCCTCACCTTTCCCGAGCTCAAGCACGAAAACAACAAAACACCAAAATTGCACTTTTGCTGCACGTGACATGGCGTGCGCATCTGAGCTGGACTGCACGCGTCGCAACCCGCTCAATCGGCTTTGTTTGCGTTGTTTGCTCCTCACTCTTCTCACCTTGCCACCATCATCTTCTCATTTCGGCAAGTGTCGCTTCAACATCAGCCTTGCCAATCTTTCTTTCCCGCCTGATTCCTTCCTTACGTTCCCCCTGTACAACCCGCTCTTCTCTGCGCTCGATCGGTCCCTTTACGGCGGACTGGAAGCCTTTGAGCCAGCGAGCCACCTCGCTGACCCGCAATCTAACATGGCTTCTGTATCAGTTTCTGTATCGTCCGACTGATCCTCATCTGTGCGGCCGTGTGAGTCAGGCTGGGATCGATAATTCAAATTCATCGGGTACAGGCTTGGCTACCAGAAATAATCCCAAGTCCGATCCGAGCTGACTCTCCGCGTGCTCGCCTAGACAACAACACTGTCGATCCGCCCTTGTTTGACACTTTCAACAAGGATCGACATGAACCTTGTCTTCGATCTTCACCCTCCCCTTCACCTTCATCCTCCTCTCCCTCCATTCCTATCTCGACTTCCACCACTGCATCACCCACAAAGCCATCATACCCATCCCCATCCGCATCTTCGGCATTAGCTTCAACAGCTAGAGATCATCCCAGCTTCCAACGTCTTGAATCGAACCACGGTTGGAGCGCTGTCACTCAGGACGACTACAACAAAGGAGCAGCAAGTCGGAACAGCAGCGAGGTGCAAACAGATTTGCCTCGCAATAGTCATGACAACGACTCGATCACAGCTGTGAGGAACGACAACATCAACCTAGAGTATCTTTCCGCTTCTCCCCGAACTCCGAAAGCACAACTCCAACATCAAACCAAGACCCCGGTCATCGTCTTCCTCACCGGAAACCATACCCCTTCTCTTGATACTGATAAGGAATTAGGCCCCGATATCACCATGATGGACCGTCATTATCCTTCGCACCCATCCTTCACCAAGACTAAGGTCCCCTCGTCTAATCAAGCCCCGAGCAAAGCTTCCGTCTCTACTATCTTGGAATCCGCGAAACGCGCCAACCCCGCCAAGTTCATCTCTCCGATCTCGACCAATCATGCTGGTCCTCTGCTGGGCAACACACTCAACTCGAGCGCTTCCGTACACACCGCTGCATCGGCGCTTATCTATCCCTCGTCACCCGGCGAGGGTCCGCCTGTAGAACCGAGCTTGTTCGCCTACTCTTCCTCATCGTCCGGCAGGACACCAAAGAAGGTCCAAGGTAGCAATGCGAGTGTGCATACAGCGCAGACGAAGAAGAGCAACGAACGTGCCACCATACGCAACGCTCGAGGCGAGATCGAATGGAAAGATCCTCCTCCCGTTCCATCCGCTCTTCCGTCAGCCTCTGGATCGCAGCAACGACGCGGGCCATCGCCTTACGACACTGTGAAACCGAGATCCCGCAATCGCTCTGCTGGTGCGACAGATGAGCGACGAAGACAGAACAGTCGAGGAGACGTGCCATACAAAGCCATCGGCAACAGCTCTAATCTGAACGACACCCTTTCTCCGCCACAGCGACCACGCAACCGACGCAGATCTACGGACGATGACGATGGATTTCATACCGCCGATGAAGATGCCATCGAAGCGCGAGAATGGGAGTGGAAACGAGATCAGCAGATGCAAGCAGATCGACTCGAAGTCTATCACCGCCAGCAAGCCTGGGAAGACGAAGATCGACGTGCTAGGAAGCGTGACGACCGCGACCGAGCTCACGCTGAATCCATGGAGCGGAAGCTTCAAACAGAGGCACGAAGGAAAGCTGATCGTGATGCGAGACGTCTGGCACGAGAGAAGGCCGAGCAAGAAGAAGCAGAGCGTCGAAAGCGACACCACGAAGAAGCTCAGCGTCGACGCATCGCAGCTGAGCGTGAGGCCGAGGAAGCACGCATTTTGAAAGAGAAGGAAGCCGCAGAGAGAAGGGCCAGACGAAAGCAGCAGCAAGAAGAACGACGAAAGCGCGAAGAGGAAGTAGCCATACGTAAAGCTGAAGAGGATGCTAAGCGGAAAGAAGAGGAACGTCTTGCTGCGATTGAGGCAGAACAACTAGCGAAAGAGGCTGCTATCGAAGCGGAGAGGGTGGCCAAGGAGAATGCTATTCGAGCTGAACGAGAGGCTGTGCTGGAGAAGGAACGACAGTTGGTGGACGCAAAGCGTCAGGTCGAGGAAGAAGATCGTGCTGCACGACGCGCCGGACGAAGGGAAGACCGACGTGCTCAGCGCGCACTCGCAGCCGGCTTCCCAGCTGGTGAGACCGATCCGGAGGCACAACAGTCCGAGGACGAAGATGAAGATGATGTCCTCTTTCGGGACGACGACTCTGATGCAGAGTCGGAAGTCTTTGTTGATGCAGGCACCGAAGACGATCTCGACGCAGATGCAGAGGCAAAGAGCGCTACTATCGGCTCGATGGCTCGTTCAACCTCCAACCTTGATGCACCCTCCAGCACGGATGGAAGCTCCGACATGCCTGGTACACCAGCAGATGAAAAGGCAATGTCGATGCTTGCGCCTCGCTCATCTACTTTGGACTTGGGCAGGAAGTCCTCGTCGAAAGCTGGTCACGGACAGGTCAAGTTTGCTGCCGGCACCAGTGGCGAAGCAACCCCGACAGCGGCAGGTACACTCATCGAGAAAATTGCACCGTACAAGTCGGATCGCTTCCGAGATGCAGTCAGACTCGGCGCCAGGCGGGCACCGACATCAACAGCGGCAGCAGCCCCAGACTCGACGATCCCGCAATCGACTTCATTGCTCACAGCCACGTTCGCAGCCACGAAAGAAGAGGGCGACGAGGCTGATGACGACGATGAGGATCGACCTGCAGATGACGAGATCGTTCAGCCAAATGGGCCGTATCGTGACGGCGGTATCACCTATGGCCGAGGTTGGTGTGCTCATGGTCTTGCTGACCCCTCGCTCGCCATCGATCATCGCCGCTACGTTCGCGTTCCTCGAGGCAAAGCTCCCGCTGCAGTCGAGTCCGAGGACGCCACCAAGTCAGCCGCTGTTCTAGAGGCCCAAGAATTTGATGAGGTGATGTACTCCGACCTTGGCGAGCTCATCTGGTCGGCTACCACGCCTGACGTGATCGCCCGTCTCATCAGCCATCTCGACTACGCAGACGTCAAAGCTCTTCGTCAAATCTCGCAGTCCATTCGCTTCTCACTTGGTCAGCTCGCCGGACGTGAGATCGTCCTCGCTCGCTTCCTTGCACCTATCGGCTATCACACATGGAAACCTGCCAGCATCTCAACTGACCCGAACGCCGAAGTTGTCGAAAAGGATCCGCTGCCGTTGAGCTTAAGCGACTGCGAGGCCTTCTTGCTCAGCTTCGATCTCGTGTCGGAGTACAAGCTCGTGGGTGCGGAGTACGCGAGAGCGCCGCATAAGATGGATCCTCGTTATCCGAGACTAGCCCGCGCAACGACCAGAGCATGGAATCGAGTGCTGACTCGACTGAGGATGCAGCCCGACTACCGGGGTGGCAGTGGCAGCCAGCATGGCATCACGAGCCCGTGGAAGCCGGGTCGTGCTGGATTCTTCCGTGCCTGGGTTCCCTCGGCAGAGGCAGGAGGCTGGCTGAGCGACACAGAGTTGGCTCGTTGCGAGCGAGAGTTGTTCATCGCTGGTGTCTTGCCGCATCTGCAAAAAGGCGATGTTGTCTGGGACTGCGCTGTTGGAGACGAACGCAACGAAGGCAAATACATCTTCGACGGTCGATACCTGCGCGATCTTTCTTTCATGTTTGATCGTGGAGGACACTTGCCATCCTGGCTCAACGCCTTCTCGTTCGCACCCAGCTACTACCACAACATCATCCGAAGTTCGGATGCGTCTCAGCCAGTTGCCTACCTGGATGTTCTGCCATGGCGTGACCAGATCGTGTCAACGATGCGGCTTGTTCAGGACCAGGTTGAGACCTTCTCACCTCAAGGCGCGCGCTACAGGATCTCGAAATGGCTCTACAGAGCTGCCATCAACGTTGTACCAGGGGCCATCATCTCAGACGAAGGCCTGGAGGTGGTCGACGCAGGATGGCATGGCAAGATCGTTATTGAGACGGAGGGTACAGCGGAGCATGCGAAAGAGTTGATATCAAGATGCGCAGGACCAGCAGAATCGGCACAGACCAAAGCGAGGCTGTTGGCAAGCGTCATGGATGCCGATGGTCGACCTCGGGTGCCAAAGGCACCTGCCCCAACAAAGGACGCACAAGGAAACAGAATCGAGACCACAACACCTTGGGCTATCGTCAGAGCGAGGAGCAGACCGGGACTCATCTGGATCAGACCCATGGACATGCGCGAGCGGGTCGTTTTCTAAGCAGAACAGGATCACTCTAGACCAATTTGTACTTCTGCAGAACTCAATATACCTTGACGACCACAGTGTCGCACAACACATGCACATTCACCCAGTCCGGGCGAAGAAAGGGCAAGAAAGTAGCAACAAGATTTACATTTGAAACGCAAGCTTAGAGCTTGGCAAAGCGGCTAACATCGTCGTTGGCAACCTTGACAACTCTGGCGTAACCCATACCTAGACTTTTTTTGCCGGTGTTCTTGACAAATTGCTCAAATGCGATCTCCTGCTTACTGTCCTTTTCGCCGACCAACCAGACCTTTGTCTCGAGCTCATCACCAGGCCTCACTGGCGAGGTGAACCTCACAGCGAAAGCCTCGAGCTCGTACCTTGTCTTGGCCCCAGTGAGGTTGGCGGGTACACCGTCGTTGCCCGAGTTGACAGCCTTGAGCACTGCACGAGCAGCGAAACCGTACGAGCAGAGACCGTGCAGGATGGTACCACCGAGACCGACCTTCTCGCCGAGACCTCCGTCGATGTGGATAGGGTTGTAGTCACCGGAGAGACGGTAGATCATAGCCTGTTGGAGGGTGGTCTTCTCGGAAAGTGTGAAGTCGGGGTCGCGAGTGGGTGCTTTGGGGGTGGGAGGCTTGGTGATGATCGACTTGTTGAAGCCAGTGCCTTGTCCACCGCCGCGGTAAAAGCTGCTGCCGATCATTGTAGCGTGGTTGCGACCGACGGGGCTGATGAGACGGACTTCAGTCTCCATGATGAGACCGGTCGGTCGGTCGTGAACTGCCGAAATGCGCTTTTCCAATTTCCAACCCTCACCTGAGACGAGAGGGATGGGAGCGTGAATCTCGATACTCTGTTCACCGTGGACGACGGTGTTGAGGTCGAGCGAAGGGAAGCCGGGAACAGCCGCACGAGATGAGACCATCTCGGAGAAGACGGTGGTGTCCTGCGACGTGCCCTTGAGAGCGAGGACGACGGGGTAGGTGGGGAAAGCACGGAAGCCAGCCTCGCGCTCATAGGCGTAGTCGAGGTCCTTGGGTCCAACACCGATGCTAACGGCATAGGTGAGGAGATCGCGACGGTTCCATGCGACGGGCTGGGTGCCAGCATCGTGACCAACGGTTTTGTTGAAGTCGACGTTCGAGTTGGAAGACATGATGTTTTTGGGGTCGCCTGGGATGTGGACGATAGGTTGCTGTGCTTTTGCCGATGTAGAGTAGAGACGAGGTGGAGAGGGGGAGGCTGAGATGGTAGAAGGAGTTCGTATTATGTGTTTTGCTTTAGGAGAAGAGAAGGCAGCATGAGCCGGAAAATGCGGGGGGGACAGCCGGTTAAGGTTCTGCTGTATTGAGGACCGGCCAGGGTTGGACCGACAGCCGGCAGAAAATCGCGCGACTTGTTTCTGCGAAGAAAGCGCGCTCAAGCCACTTACTCCACGCTGCACCCCACGTTTGTATGTCGAAGACAGCATCCTGTGGCTCTTGTTTGCCTTTCGGCTCGAGTTTCGCCTTTAGTCCTGCTGTGAAGTGATCTGGTTTGGTGACCTTGGCCGACGGATCGCTGTAGCCTGTCACTTGTCCCGTTGTGAGATGCTCCTAGGCGACTGCTTGGTTGGTGGTGTGATGGGAACATCGATGAGAGCTATCCGCTTGCACGTTACTTTCGTGTGCTCGACGGGGGCTTTCACCACGCTTTGGCCGCATCAACATCATGAGCCCTCTCAAGCTACAGCATGTTGAAAAGTGAAGGAGTTTTGTCCCGATAACTGGCGATCGGGGAGAGTCTGAGTACGATGTCACTGCTATTATAGATAGAAACATATATACTCAATTGACTAAAGGAGCATGGCGAGAGCCTAGTGCTCCCAGCTTGATATATATACATATGGATGGTACATGCCGAATGTGGGTGTATCCTACTTAAAGACCAAGTATGACAACGAGCGGGACTGTGTTGTACCCGATCTCTGGTCAGATCGGCCCCTGCTCTGTCTCCGATCAGATCGGCTTCCCCCGATCCCTTCCATATCGGCTTACGTCAACTTGCATCATCATATTGGATCGTTTCCTTCAGCACAGCATCATGCAAACACCGGCATCGAATTTGCGCTTTGCAAGCGCAAAAGTCAAAGGGATCCCTGGTGCTTCTTCGCACAGGATTCCGCCAAACGTCCAGGTGATTGTAGATCCATGCAGGAGGAAAGAGGTTAACTTGGCCATCACTTGTCGAGGAGTTCATGCTTGATTAATTTCTGCTCTCAATTTTGTTAGACCGTCATAAAGCGGGCCAACAGCTAAAATTAGAGGCTGATCAAACGCGTACGAAACAAGTCGAAGCCAAGAGGATTCTGGAAGCCGAAAATGGGACGCGAAGGCTGTGATGACGGAAAGTCGCAGGGAGTTCGGTGTCCGTGCTCAGAGCCTCAGGAACGGCTGACAACCTAAGCCCATCCATCATCTCGATTCTCTACACAGCCGTTCCCTCTTTCGGTCATCAGACGCCATCATCAACATCCTCAACCCCTACACCTCGGTCACTTTGTCCTACCTACAACACGCACCCGACCGTAGAAGGGGGTATCGCCGACAAAAACGTAGCTCAAGATGAAGGGCCTTGCCAAAGCCATGAAGCGGACGCCGCATCTCATGACGAGTAAAATCGGCATGGCGGCCAAATCCTCCGATCCAGCATTCGATTCTCTCAATCAACGTTTTACCTCGCTCGAGAAGTTCTCGGAAAAGCTGCTGAAGGATGCATCCACCTACCGCGATGCCGTCAAGAACATGCTTCTCTCCGGTGCTAGCTTCGGTCGTCATTTCGACATCCTTTTCCAGCCCATTGGATCCGAATACGACCTCGAGCGTCGACACCCCAATGCACAGCACACCATGGCTAACCTTCCCGCGTATGGCCAACTGATGGACGAGCTTAAGGAGACATTGACCCCAGAGATCGAGTTGGTCGAATCACGAGTCATCGCACCGACCAAAGACTTCCAGACCGTCATCAAGGCGATCCGTAAGAACATCACAAAGCGAGACCACAAGCTGGTCGACTACGACAGGCACAACAATGCCTATTCAAAGCTCCGTGATAAGAAGGAAAAGTCGCTCAAGGACGAACAGAACCTCTTCAAGGTCGAGCAGGAGTACGAGGCTGCCGCTGCCGACTACGAGTACTACAACAATGCGCTGAAGGAGGAGTTGCCAAGGTTCTTCGAATTGGCGAGCAAGTTCATGACCCCACTCTTCCACAGCTTCTACTACATGCAACTCAACGTCTTCTACCTGACGATGGAAAGGCTGCAGAGTTTCGCGCAGGGCAAGTACGATCTGACCAACAACTCCATCGCTGTCGTGGAGGATACCTACATGTCTCAGCTCACAGATGCTGCGGAGAGGTTGGAGAACTTGACCATCAGGAGAGGTGCTGTACCAAGTGCCAAGGTCCTGGCCCAGAACAGAACGTCTGGTGGAGGTTTGAGTCCTTCGGGCTCGCGATTGAGTGGACTGGCAGCAGGTGCACCAAGTCGGTCTGGATCGATCCTTAGCTCTCACTCGACCTCGGCGGCCGCAGTCCCGCCGCCTTACTCTCCTACTACGGCTGCTGCAGGTGGCGCAAGTCTGGGTGCGGCTGGCAAGCGCGCTCCACCTCCTCCACCGATCAAGCCTAAGCCAGGCATGGCTCCAGCAAGAACATACGTCATCGCGCTTTACGACTACACGGCAACGGCAGACGGCGATCTCAGCTTCAGGGCTGGCGACAGGATTGAAGTTACGGAACGCACTGCATCGACAGAAGATTGGTGGACGGGCATAGTCAACGGGCAGAAGGGGGTCTTCCCCGGCAACTACGTACGAGACGAGTGATACCGTGTCTTTCTTTAGAGGATCCGCATTCGAACATAAGCCCTTCGTCAAGCCCAGCTTTCCTTTGATCGAATCAGTTGGTGTCGCTTGCAGAATCATAGAGCTCTACCAGGCACGAGCGTGTGCAGTCTGCGAAGATAGCGATGAGATTAGCGATTAACAACTGTGAAATCCTTTGCTCGGCAGCGAGCGACAGATTGTGAGGACAAGAGATGTGGGATGGAGGTGTCTGATGAAGCAAGTTGGGTATGCATGTGTGAGAATGCTGTTTCTAGAAAGGCGAAGGCCTGTGCTCGCCTGCAACCGACTTTCTGGCCTGCAACGAAGACGTAGATCGAGGAATGCGGCTGGAGAGGCTTCCCGCGTGGCCGTTAAAGTCTGTGACTCTTCTGCCTGCAGCTGCTCTCAGTGAAGGGCTTGCCGCCGTTCCGACTCCAGCTGCGACGTGAGGTGAACTGGTATCACCAAACACAAAGGGCGATCCTCTATTTAATGCTTGATCCCTAGTGGGTGTCTGACGGAAGTTGAAGTCGAATGCGGAGTGAGAGTGTCGCAAGCTCTGTGGTTGGGCAGGAGAGGCAAAGGTGCGTTTGACAGGCTCAGGAAGAAACGAGATGGAGTCAGACGCAAGCTGATCCAGATTTGAGCTAGAGCGAGTCACTTCTTTTGACATTGAGAGCCCTCCTGTTCTGGACGACGATGCGGTGGCGAAGGGGCTATCGAATTGCTGTGAAGTCCGGGACGTTAGATAGGGCGCTGAGGATCGAGATGAATCCAGTCCAATGCCGAAGCTGGGAGAAGGAGTGTCGATTTCCCTGAGATCCGATTCTTGCAGGACTGGAGTCGAATTCAGTGCGGCTCGACCTTCCGCAATCAATGCGTTCATTCTGGCTTCAAAACGTGAGAGCATCTCGTCATCCTCGTCTTCGTCATCTTCAATGTCATTGACAACTTCAGCTGCGTGGTTGTCGGCGTCATCTGCTGCCGAGAAGCTTTGACTCGAGCTGGAGACAAGACCGGGCGAAGCAGCTGCGGCCGGGGCTTGCCCGCGGAAAGCACCAGGCAGGGCCTTCCTCGGCGTGCTTTGACGGTGCATCTTAGAGCCCTGAAAAGTAGGCCTCCGCCGATTACGTTGTGAAGAGACGAACACTTTGCGGGCGCGAACCGAGTTGGACTGCGGCGTAGTTAGTTGCTGCGGTTGCGCGAGTGATGCAGATGGCGTGCCTTGGTTTTCGTAGTAAGGAGGAGGTGGCTCTTCAATTCCGCCAGGCGGCATTCGAGCATCTTTGTCGCTGCCGTTGGCGCCAGCACGTTTGTTCGGCGAGATTACATGGCCCATGTCTGCCTCCGGTCCTGCATCTGGGTGGTGTTGATGTGTTCCACTGTCTGCCGAGTGACCCCATGAAGACCATAGAGAGTAAGCAGTCAGAGCTGCCGCACCCGTGTACAGCGCCGCGTTGAGAGCTGTATCCACGATCGTTCCTGCTAGGCCACGACGACGCTTTCGGGGTGGGTCATCGGCAGGCGGGGTTGCCTCCTGGATCGCCTGCGACGTCTCTCGCAGCGAGGCTTGAGCAGATTGGTTGCCGCGGGAGAAGATAGCGTTTCGAGCGAAATAGGACGACTCGTCCGCGTCTGCAGCAGTGCAAAAGCTCGAAGGACTGACAGACAATGGCGTTTGTTGCTGTCGGAAGCTAGCGAACGAGCTTGTGCTGCTCGAGGAAGGCATGGACGCCATCGAAGCCATCGAGGCACTGGTTGTACTGGTGGGAAGGGCCATGCCGGACTGAAAGCTGAACTCAGCACGTGGTGGTTCGTTGTTGGTTGGTGACGGGCCCGACGTAGAGGGGCCCATCTGCTCCCACGGCAAAGAGCCTAGTCCATTTCTGCCAATCGTAGCAGTCCACTCTCGCTTCTTGCCGGAGGGCGTCGTGGACGGTGGCGACATGGTGACAGGGTCGAATGCGGAACTGTCCCCGTTGTTGTGAGATAGTGACCCGTCCTCGTAAGCTGAAGGCGGCGGACGATTGCGCGGATGAAGAGGTCCGCGCAAACGACGCCTCGAGGGCACTCCGTAGCCCGTGTTCATCCTGATCCTGAAGCAAAGTAGGCTGCAGGCTGTTGTCGATCCCTTTCTGTTACGGGATCATCCAGCTGGTGGACTGTCAGACAGTTTGTGTGCTATCCGCAGCTCTGCTCGAAGGTGGTGTTGGCGTCGAGGAACGAGTCAAAGAGACAAAGCTATTGATCTAAATGAAAAGGCAGACCCTGCGCACTACATGAAATTTGGTTCCGGCCGACTGCTGTCCTGTCGATCCTTTGCTGATTGTTCGCGTTGACGTGCAAGGCGCGTAGAGTGACAGGTGTGGGTCTCTCCTGAAGGTGAATTTACAGTGCCCCTGATGTTAGGGTTGACCTTCATGCCCCGTTCCCCTTTCAACGATCACAAAGCTTCTTGTCTGATGGCACCAATGACGAATGGAGAAGCGACGGTGCAATACGAGACATAGCGCTCGTCCTTGTGCCGGTTTTGGCCGAATCGAGCCAGTTTTCACGCAGAAGAGGGGAAGCGGAAAAGCTAGAAGAATGACCTGCCGACGCGCCATGTCAATCTGACGACCTATCGAACCAGGCTTGGAGTTGCAGCACGACCTTAGCTGAGGAGACTCAAGATATAGCTTGTGCAGTGGTCCGTACACTTATCACATATGCCATGACGCTTGAGTGCGGAAACTCAAAGGCAATGCCGCCAAGAACCCTGATTGGGCGTGTGTCGAAGGCGACGAATCTCTCCGACGGTCCAATAAGGTACCGGCGAGGGCAAGTCTGGATGTTTTCTCAGGTCGCTGTCGGTAGGCAAGCAGAGGTGCGACTGAATTCCGACAATATGCCTGTACATATTTGGTAAAGAAGAAGGAAGGTGATACTAGTCTTCACGTATATATATATGTGTTTGACCCTTCTGACGACAGGTTAGGAACGGCTTTCTGCCATTTCGACCCCTCCCACAGCCCGGCAGTCTCTGTTGAATTTGATGACCGTTGCCTGGTGCACGGTTAAGCAAGCTGGGAACAGGACATAAGGCTTAATCCTCTTGCCTCTGTAGTAGCACTTTTCAGTGCTGGTCAGATTGCAACTGCAAACCCTCTCAAGCCTATGGGCGTTGTTGCCGACCGGACCCTACTTAGACCCCACCCTTGCGAGATGAAATCCAGACACTCGTAGACATGACTTGCTATGCGACGTTCGTGTGCGTCATTGACAACTGCCCGAAATCCGACATTTGACACTACTGTATTATGCGTGTTTGTTTATGCAGCTTATCCAAGCTTTTCCTGAATCTCCGGTACGCCCATTCTTCGACCTCGCTGTGTTCACAGCTAGTCTTCATCCTGTTGTTTGAATCACCTTATCATTCTGTTTCTTGCACCGAAGGCGCTGATGAGATTGCATTGATTCAGTAAGATCCGGCGTGAATAAGAAGCTGAATCGCTGACAGCGCCGCGCTATCCTGCTAGAGAAATCTCCGTTGAAAATGGTGACGAAGCCGAGGCGAATTGGCCTCCACCAGAAAGTTGTGAGCCAAGAACAGTGACGTTGAGCCTTCGTTCGCTTGGCAGGTCGCAGTCTTGTTCTTTGTGTGCATGAGCATAACACGAGGTCCATCCATCAGTACGACGACTTCATACAGCACCCGACTCCAATACGCAACTGACAGCTAGAAGCGAGAACCTCAGCTAAGAGCTGAATCATCTTATCCCTCCTCCATCACTTCATATACGACCATCATCTTCCAGGTCCGTCATCTTCCAGGTCCGTCATCTTCCAGGTCCGTTCCCGCCAAAATCCATCCACCTATATTTCGAGCCCGTTTTTGGTCTGACCTGCCGCCAACAACGTTTTCTTCCTACAGACGACCGTAGTCTCTGATAAATCCCTTCAAAGGGTATAGACTCGCCCAAGATGGTTGTTTACGTCTTGGACAACTTCTACCTTTCCATCACCTTCCTCATCTCCCTCGGCTGGCAGCTACTCGGCTTCGCCATTGCTTTCGGTCTTCAAATTGACACCATTACCGACTTCTGGTCCGCTGCCAACGCCATCTTTCTTGCCATCTTCACTCTCTGCTGCGGTGACCAGTACTACGCACGCAATGTCATCGCCAGCATCTTTGTCATTGCATGGGGCGCTCGTCTGGGTGCTTTCCAGCTCTTCCGCATGATCAAGATGGGCGGCGACTCGCGCTTTAACGAGATGCGATCCAAGCCCCTCAACTTCCTCGGCTTCTGGACCTTCCAACTCATCTGGGTGTGGACGATCACTATGCCTGTCACCGTGCTCAACTCGCCCAACTCGAGCGACCCTGCAGAAGGTGGAGGCAACGCCCGTTTTGGTAACGGAAAAGATGTTGTCGGTATCATCTTCTTTGCCGTCGGCTTCGTGTCGGAAGCGCTCGCAGACATTCAGAAGTACAGGTTCAAGTCGGTCACCAAGCCTCCCAAGGGTGCCATCACTGATACTGGTATCTGGAAGTACTCGCGACGGCCTAATTACTTTGGCGAAATCATGCTTTGGTGGGGTGTCTGGCTGCTTGCTCTTGGGAACACCACCGAAGCGTCCCGACGAGGTCGCGATGCACTATACGGCTCCATCTTTTCGCCTACCATCACTATGGCCCTCCTCCTCTTCCTCTCCGGTATCCCGCTCGCAGAGAAGCCAACTCAGCAGAAGTATTTCTTGATGTCTCACGGTCCCGACAAGCAGGCAGAAAGCTTGGAACCATGGCACGATCAGACAGAGACCGACGCATGGCACAGGATGAAGGTTTTCCGAGAGCGTACATCGCTTTTGATACCTCTGCCCAACGGTCTGTACAAGAGGCTGCCAAGGTGGCTGAAGTCTACCGTACTCTTCGATTTCCCCTTCTACAACTTCGACGAAGCTAAGGACGGCCACAAGGTCATCCGCGAGGCTGAAGACAAGAGAAACAACGAGAACGCCTGATTGCTGGGGTGATTCAACTTCAGCTTAGATATTCCTCGTAAATACCCTTTCCATTGTAGACTTGCTAATACTCGCAAAAGCCCGTTGAAGTTTCATCAAAGTGTAGGTTGTCTGAGCGACCCCTTGACAATGAGACTGAGAAATGCATGATGGATAGGATGCAGTTTACTCGAGGTCAGCCCACCTGAGACATGCGACAACAACCCACCTACCTCGATCGCTGATGTCTCCCATCTCCTCTTCCGCCTCTGGCTCCTTGTTCACATCATCCGACAATGTCCTCGATGTAGACCCTGCATCGTAATCGGGTTTGCGCGGTATCGTGGCGCCTGTCCATGCTCGCTGTGAACCGTCGATGTTGCGTTCCCATATTCCGCCGAATCGCATTTCTTCCCAGTCTGGCACAATTCCCGCCTGCCTGCCTTGTTCCAGGGATGCATCGTTTGCCGCAGCACGCTGTGCGAGCTGAACAAAGAAGCGCCGTACAGCTGGTCTGCCGGTGTGGAAGCCAGCAATCAGCACGCATCGAGCATTGCGATCACGCTTGAGCATCTTCCGTATTGATTGGATGAGAAGCGGATGTGCGGATGAGACCCATAGTACATCTGCTGCGAGAACGACATCGTAGCCAGACTCTCCGTCGTCGTTGGGAGATGGGAAAGACTCGGCTAGAACTCGAGCTTCTTCCTCGTCATTGCCCCAGCCAAGCCCGATGACTTCCACCTTTCCCCGCGCTTGATTGTAGTGTGGGTTTTGCTGCCTTCCCTTCCTTGCCCTAGGTATGAGAGCAAGGTCCAGATTCCGTTCGAGATTGTCAATGACGTGAGGGTCAGGATAGTCTGTGATCACTGTCTTTCCTGCTCCCATGACACACGCCACCAAGCCTGGAAGGCCAGTTCCCGCACCAAGCTCCACTACGGTCTTGCCTCGTACATCAACAAAGTCATTCGCTTTCTTCTTGCCGTGTGTCACTTCCGAGCTGCTATCGTGGCTGTCGGTGCTCTGCTCGGCTATGAGATCCGCTAAATAGAGTCCAGCATCCCATTGATGATGAGCAAAAAGCTTGGTGTTGATTCCGCTGTTCTGAGCGATCTTGTACCGCAATGAAGTCTTGCGCAAAGGTGCGCATCGGTAGCGAGGTGGGAGATTGTGATGAAAGTACTTGCAAGTGTCCCCAGGATCCCCGTGTATGGGTTGATAGTGCGAGAAAAGGGTAAAAAGAGAGTCCTCGAACAGTGATGTCGGCGAATGAGGTCTTTCGACAGCATCTGACGCAGACGAGCTCGTTGAAGACGTCGAAGCTCCATCATTCAAGTCATGATAGCTCATCCTGAGCAGGCCTAGCGAGGAGGGCCGAGGTAAAATGAGTAGGACAAGAGCAAGAAGTAGCAGAAGAAAACAAAATTTCCACATCATCTCCTTTGCTTTCCTCCACGGAGTTGCAAGACCCTGACACAAATTTGGACATTTCCTCGTTCTGAAGCGGCTCAGGCCACATCGTAGCTTTCCGCTTTACGCTTCTCCGCATCTGGCCTTACCATTATCATCCTAGACCAGACCGTGGTTCACACCCATCTCGAAGCCGTCTTCGAGATGCCCTTTCCCAATCTCCGTCGCATCTTCAGCTCTTCCCGAACTGACGACCAGGAGCGCGCAGTATCCAGACAAGCCTTCTTCCGCTTCTGCAGCTTCCTTACCTCGTGCGCCGTCATCGCCCTGCTCAGTAGTCCAAAACGTAGAAGAGCCATCGGAATCTAGTAGACATAGATATCAAAATGGCTTCACCTCCCCCAGTACCACCGCGTCCTTGCTCTGGGTCAACAGAGAAACCTGCTGTGCCGCCAAAGCCTCTCTCACCAGCACGAAAGAAGCCAGCCATCCCGCCACGTCCACTCTCCGATGCAATTGAAGGGCCCCCAATCCCTACAAAGCCGATCGTCCCACAAAGGCCTCCTTCCTACATGAAGACGAGATCGACTCTGCGCTTCACGAATCTCGAAACAGGTGAAATCGTTTACACCCGCCTTGTCATTGTTGAGGGCACTTTGGGTCCAGGTAGCCCGAATGGGAGTCTTAGCGTCAGCAGTGATGCGAGATCTGGCTTCAAAGCGTGTACCTGGGAAATCAACCTGGGCTACTTTAAGGCGCTGGTACCTCTAATTCCTGGTAACAACGATCTCATGTTCTCCTGGTGTCGCTCCGATTCGGACGAGCGCGGCGCGGAGAATGTGAAAGTGGTATACGATCGCCCGACACCCGCTCCACATGTTCATCTCGCTATCGTCGCGGCCTCTGACTCCCCGGTGTGGCGGAACGATGGACGAAAGTCTCCAAGCGTGCCCCGTAAGCCGACGAGTCAGACCGCATCAAACCACATATCGAAAGACGATAAGATGTCGCGCTTTCTCTCCAAGGCGACGGACAAGCTCGATTTGGCACCTGTATCCCACGGCGAGCCGCTGGACGAGAGCGAGCGTGCAATCGTAGATGCGCCCCCAGGTCATAGACGGGAAGTGCTGAGAGTCGGTGCACTCGCTGAAGTCAAGCGTCGTGTTGCTCTTCAAGCGTACCTTTGGCAGGCGTTCCACGCAGAGCAGATGCGGCGACATGGGATGGGTCGCCGCGCATTCCAACTCGATGATACCTATTATGATCCGTCACCAGGCTCTTCGGCTCAAGAGGGACATGCGTTGGAGCTCTTGCCTCGGATTCATTTGCTGAGATCAAACCGCACATTGAGCGAGTTTAGGGATCCTGACAATGCCCAACAATACCCCAATGCTCGTAACGGTGGAGCACAGCATCAATTCGCTGCCGAGGCACTTCAGGACCCTTCGACTCCACAAGAGCTTCGTTGGTCACCTGTCGCTGTGTTGACACTCGACACTATCTATGACCCCAGAATGCGCCTCATCCGCGGACACGCTGCTGTTGGTGCCGGTGCTTCGGGGCAACTCTCCCATGGTGTAATGGGCAGTCATTGGCTCTGGGCGGCTCCCTCTTCTCTCGACGCTGTCACTGCCGCGTTCCTCGACACGGAGCGCACTGACGAGTCGTGTTGTGTCAACGACCTTGGGGAATGCGAAACAGCTTGGCAGACCCTTAATATTGGATCAGGGGCGTTTGCTCATGAGCTTGGTCACGCTCTGAACAATCCGCATTGGGAGTCTGGACTCATGGCGAGAGGCTATGTTGAGTTTAACAGAGCCTTCATGACCCGCGAACCTGGATGTCGAAGGAACGGCGTCCCAAGTGGACGCTTCTTTGCACCAATACACGAAGGCAATGACGACAAGCACAACCACCTCCATCGAGCTCAAGCAACCAGAGCACGCTGGCATCCCTGTTTCTACATACCCACAGACCCGCCATTACCGTATCTCACTTCGAATGATCAGGCAACTTGGGCTCAGTGGAACGAGAATGAGCCTTCCTGGACAAGCACGCCGGATGGTGCTCTGTTGAAGTGCGGCTCGGGCATTGGCTCGCTGGAGATCGAATTCAACGATGCATGCAAAACCCATGTCGAGTGGCTAAATCTCATTCCAGGAGACACAGACACACAGATGCCACCCAGGGAGACCCTGATAGACGCAGCATACCTCAGTCAGTTGGTCGGATTCGATGTCAGCCATCCGAGCTCACCTCGGGTGAAGCTGAACGCAGTAGCCTGCAATATGCGACAAGCTGAGCTCGAAGACTTCAGAGAGAATGGAGTCGCTAGACCTGTTAACATTAATGGCTTTGACTCTGGCAAATGGCAGGTCTTCAAAACAATGCATCATGGTCGTATGGGAGACGCAGATCAGCTATGGAAGCTCTTGTTTCCGCACGAGAACGACAAGTATCCTGAAGCACGGCTTGTCGCTGTTAAAATCTACAGTGGGGCCTGTGTGGATGGACTTGTCTTCGACTATGGACCTACTGTGGGCCAAGTTCAATTCGGACCCTGCGAAGGTGGTGAGTGCTTCAGGTTCGAGCTGAGACCAGGCGAAGGGATTCAACGCATCAAAGTTAGAGCTGGTTGGTGGCTAGACGCTTGCGAAATAGTGCTGACAACTGGTAGATCTAGTGGGATGAGAGGTAACACAACCGGTGGATCATTACGAGTGTTAGAGCCACCCGGTCAGGATGGTCGCATCGTGGGATTGTATGGTACGAGCGGCGATTGGATGAACAGCATCGGGGCCTTCGTGAGTTCTTAGACGACGCCACAGCGAACGTCAAGAACATCACTTGTTACACGCCGAAAACAATCTCGTGATTTAGGTCTTGGTGAATGCACGGCCTGATACGAGCTCAGCAACTTCGGTCAACTCCGAGAAAGATGGAGTGTAAAGGCTGTCATTGTCACGCGGACGTCGAATTGCACTTTGCACTCAGCTTCGGGATGTTGGATGACACCATCGCATGAATAAATTGAGCCCAACATGAACGAAACGAAGAGAAGATGACATGGACTGGCGACGGACTGATTGGGCGATAGCCGACCGGGAAGGAAGGATGGAGTTCGGATTGCGGGGTAACAACGAGATAAGATGTCTTTACCACACGTCACTGCTCTGCCTTATCTGTCAGAAGACGGAATGTGAACGGTGTCGTCCCATTGAACGGGAAGGCGGACTTTGCTTGGCTTCTGTTGGCCTGTTTCATGACCTTTGCGGAATGATGCAAGGGTGAAGGATGACCACGGAGCCGATTGATAAACTCTCGGAGATGGCCGAGAGATCCTTTGTACGCTCTTTGCCATTGGGTCCCGCCTTTTCGGGCATCTGCAATCGCAGAAGATCATCACCGCAGTGGCAGCTACTCACGAGCTAATTGTACACGGCAGCCAAACCGACCCGTGCATTGTGGCGCTTACGAGTCTACCCTTCTTAGCGATAAGGTGCGATGACAAACGATGGACTTGGCTGTAGAGCATGATGGTCGTACTAAGTCGACGAAGCCCAACCATCCTTCCCGTCTCGGCCGATACATCGATTCCTTTTCGCGTTTGGTTGCCGTTTGCGACAGAAAATTTTCACCTTTCTTCGCTCCTTGTGACATGCTACGTTATCGGGTCTTCTTTTCGAAAGCCGCTGCTTGCCGTTTGCTGCAACATGAGCCGCTGACGGAACGAGAGATAGGATAATTCGACCACCTCTCCCGCCATTGGCTGCTCCCTTCCAACAACTTTGCTCCAGCGGCAGTTTTTACCGAGATCCACTGCGGCTTGCTCTAGCCCAAGCGGAGTATGCATACGATCTCATAAGAAGATGCAGGATACACAACATGAATTGTCTGTGCATTTTGACAATGTCGAAGCGATCGTCTAGAGGGAGAAGACTGCTGTTGCTGCACGAGGTGTTCGCTTATCTCCAGTTTTCCAGTCTAAGCGGTCGCGAGGGCGCATCGACTTTTTCTTGTCCTGCCGCATTCAAACAGCGCTCGACCTCTCACAAGTCAAAAGAAGAGTTCGCTTCTCAACAACCGAGCATAATACAAGCATGCAATTGTAAACCACAAGCAAAAGAGCTGAAGTGGCCGATTCTGCTGTAACCGAATGCAAGAGAACCATTTTCTGTTGCGACCGAAACTCCTGCTGTGCCGCCCAGAGACAGCAGCCCCTTCCCTCTGCATCAGTGTTTACATCAATGCGATTGGCGTTGCGAGTCGATCGATACCAGCAACAACGAAGATCGAAAGAAGACGGCGTTGCAAGAGGTAGTCAAGGAAGCCTATTCGAATGTCCAACAGCGCACGAGAGGCAGAGAGACTGAAAAGTTTAATTTCTTTCACACCCGTTCGAGCCTGATTGTCGACAGACGGGAAGAAAATTTTGCTCTGGGCCTCTGTTTGTACACCACACTGCGCTCGTGCTTGGCAACGTTTTCGACCAACGGCCGGTCTAGGCTCAATTCCGCATGGTTGTTATGTCGCTACTACTGCTGCTGCTGCTGCTGCTGCTGCTGCTACTGCTTGTTGCCAGTCAAAAAGATTCCGACTGCACACTTTGCCTGATCCGAATACATTGTCCGAACCTTCCATTCAACATCTCGCTTTAGCTTCCCTCGGATCGGCTACCTTCTTTGCTTGGCCGCTCTTATTCGGCAGGAATGGCGCGATGCGGAGATGATAAAGAGGATTCGAGCATCGACTGTTGCGGACAACTGTTGACGGAAGGACAGCCTAGGATGGACAAGGAAGCAAATCGGCGGTGGCGGATCCCGTCGGTCTTTTCCTGTATTAGTTTTCTTTTTTTTCTTTTTTTTCTTTTTTTTTCTTTTTTTTCTTTTTTTTTCTTTTTTTTTTTTTTTTTTCTTTTTTTTTTTTTTTTTTTTTTTTTTTTTTTTTTTTTTTTTTTTTTTTTTTTTTTTTTCTTTCTTCTTCTTTGCCTCGTGCATTTGTTTTTTTTTTTTTTTTTTTTTTTTTTTTTTTAGAGCCCGCCTGTCAACCAGAGATACCCACCTGAGAGCGTCGAGACGCCAACATCTCGGTTTCATCGCCCCCATGCCGAAGATGAAGGAGGCTTTGCCCACGCCACCTTGGGCAAAGCACCATGGGCAAAGCCTCCTTCATCTTCGGCCTCGCTTGTGGGAGGTGAATGAAGATGAAGGAAGAAAGTGTGCAATTTGGCCCCATTGTCTTGGCTTTAGAGCAGCTTGTTCCCATGCTCGGCTGTCGAATCATATTGTCCTCTGCTCCTTCCCGAAGTTGACCTCAAGCTTGTGACGTTGTCAGCGATTGAAGTGGTCGAACAAGGGTTTGCCGCGCCAATTCGCTTGATATCTTTGCTTCCAATCGGATACACGAACGAATCACCTGCCGGCCTCTCCTCGTGCTCGTCCGCTTGCCACCTTAGTGCTATCCGTATGCTTCCCATATTATTCAGACCCTTCTCTTTCCAACCACACCACCTCATCCGCCCTACCACCTCCCGGAAGCCATTCATCGGCGACTCGAGCCTTCATTGACATCGAGCTTTCTCATCGCCCCTCTACCTCGACCGTAAAAGTAGAATTAAACCCCTGCGTCGACGAGCGTCAGGATAGCATTCTCACCGGAACTTCGTACAGGCTCCTGACAACTAGGATCCAATTCCAACACGCATCACCATGGGCGTTCCAGAGCTCGTCAACAGCCTCAACAGAGTGGTGGCTACTTCGCCTGTCGGCTACTACTTCCGACTCGATGGATCCGGTCACCCCCTCTCGCGACCTGGCTCGCGTTTTCTCACTGAGATCCGCGCCGGTCTCGTCACCTTCGCTGCTATGGCCTACATTCTTTCGGTCAACGCTAGCATTCTCTCCTCGTCCGGTGGTCCCTGCGAGTGCGCCAACACCCCGCAAGACCCTGTTTGCGCCAACGATGCTGCCTACCAGCAGTGCACGGCTGTGCTCAACCGCGACTATGTTTTCTCCACCGCTATCGCTGCTTGCGTCGGTACTTTTCTGATGGCCGTCTTCGCCAACATGCCCCTCGGTCTCGCTCCTGGTCTCGGTGTCAACGCCTACTTCGCCTTCACTATCGTCGGAACTGCCGGTACCGGTATCATCCCTTACAGCCAGGCTCTCTCTGCGGTCTGGCTTGAGGGCTGGATCTTCTTCCTTCTCTCGCTCTTCGGGATCCGACAGTGGTTGGCACGTCTTTTGCCCCACAGTATCAAGCTCAGCACTGGTGCCGGTATCGGTATCTTCCTTGCCTTCATCGGTCTCGGTCCCAACGGTCTCGGTGTCATCGGTGGCAACGCCTCCGACCTCATCGGTCTTGCTGGTTGCCCTGCCCAATACGAGGACCCCGTAACTGGTTTCTGTCTGAGCCACAAGCTTCAAGCTCCCACTGTCTGGCTCGGTGTCATGCTCGGCGGTATCTTCACCGCCCTCATGCTCCTCTACCGTGTCAAGGGTGCCTTCCTCATTGGTATTTTGCTCGTTTCGATTGTTTCGTGGCCACGCAACACTTCCGTCACCCTCTTCCCCCACACTCCTCAGGGCGACGACGCTTTCAACTACTTCAAGCAGGTCGCCAACTGGAACGGTCTTGGCTTGCTCGGTCCCAAGAACATCGACTGGACTGGCTACAGCAACGGCAAGGTCTGGTACGCGCTCATCTCGTTCCTCTACATCGACTTGCTCGACACCACCGGTACTTTGTACGCCATGGCCAGTCACGCTGGTCTCATGGACGCCCGTACTGGTGACTTCGAGGGCTCTTCCGCTGCCTACCTTTCGGACGCCGTTGCCATCTCCATTGGCTCTCTCGTCGGTTGCTCGCCCAACACTGCCTTCGTCGAGTCTGCTTCTGGTATCGCTGAGGGTGGCCGAACCGGTATTACTGGTGTCGTTGTTTCTTTCATGTTCTTCCTCTCGCTCTTCTTCGCACCCATTTTCGCTTCATTCCCCTCCTGGGCTACTGGTTCGACTTTGGTCATTGTCGGTTCCATGATGGCTTCCAACACCGCCCAGGTCAACTGGTCGTACGTCGGTGACGCCATTCCCGCATTTGTCACCATCGTTGGTATCCCCCTCTTCTACAACATCGCCTACGGTCTTATCGCCGGTATCTGCTGCTACATCGCCCTCAACGCTATCCCTTGGTCCATCATGCAGGCCACTCGCGGACGTGTCGTTCCCGATGGTTGGGACACCATGAAGGAGCCTTGGGGCGCCCGCATGGTTTCAGCCAACGATGACAGCACTGGTATCTGGGCCATCTTGCCACCTTGGATGAGGAAGTTGATGAGCGGCAACTACAAGTTCTGGCAGATGACCGATGACGAGATCGAGTTCTACCTAGAGGGTAGGAGGGAGACGCAGCGTTTGGCCCAGGAGAGGCAGGAGCAATTGGAGAACGAGCGCAACGCTATGTACGGTGCTGAGGACGATGTTGAGGCAAGAGCCTCAACCAGCTCGGCTGAGGGCCATGATGAGAAGCACTCGACTGGCAGCCCAACTTTCTCGCCTGTCGAGGTGCCAACTAGGTTGCCTCACGAGACCAACACTCAAGACGAGGTTCGTCACGTCACCGGTACTGCCCGCTAAAAGGCCGACGTACCTTGTTCTTGGGCTCCGTCTTGCTGTATTTCTTCTTTTCTTTCTCTCGTTGGGCCTTTATCACTTGGCTTTCTTTCGGGGTATACCTTTGTATACTTGCAGTCTAAGCTCCTTCCGGTAGATTCTTGCTGCTAGGTTTATCTGTTGACTCTGAATACCACATTCTTTCGTTACCGTGATGCTGATTATAGTTTGTGAGAATGCATGATTGTTCATAGTATCCAGTAGTCGCATCGTACAGGTCATACGCGTGTCAAAACTATGCCTCGACGCCCAATCTTGCCAGGACAGTGTCAGCATGTGCTAATGCTGACTGCATCTCCTGCTGATCCTTCTCTTCTTCTTGTCTTTCCAACGCCTCCTCTTCATCAGCGGCCAAAGCCTTCTTGATCTCATCCAGCGCCGAACACCACCTGACGTTGGCCGTGTCGGTTATGTATCCACCTCCAGGACCTGGAACCATCTTTTTGGGCTTCCTGACCGTTGCGATCTTCTCTGCGTCCTTTCCGTCCATATCTTCAGACGCAGCAGCTGCGGTCTGGAATGCTTCAGCTAGACCCCACCTCTTCAATGTACCTTCACCAATCGTGTCTTGCTTCGATGACATCATCGCCGACTTGCTCTTCCTCAACGATCCGGTCAACGCATTGTTGGAAGAGGAGGCTTTGATGCTCTGTTTGACAGAGGTGCGACGAGAGGCCTTGCCTTGGGCGACGAAAGAAGCAAAGTCCCGCTGTTCTTCGACGGTGCCGTAGTTGGAGCATGTGTGCGAGCGCGTGGCTGCGTGGCCGGCCAGCTCACGATCGACGTCGTCTGCACTCGTGTCGCCTGCATTCTCTTCAACAAGCTCCGGTTGGGGCTCATCTCTATGAGCACGTCGCTGCTGACGCTGATTGTGCAGCTCTTCGAAGTCGAGTGCAGGAATGGCTTCGGGCACAGGCTTGCGTCTCGAGGATGCATTGCTGGCGACACTCGGTGAATGCTTGAGCGTCGAGACACCGGGGAAGAAGGTACGTGGGAACCCATTGAATGTGCCTTGCCTCCTCAAGGGTGACACGGAGAAGCTCTTGGCCGAGCGCAGGCCATTGTAGATGTTTCCGTTTGGCGACGTTGGACGGGATGAGGTTCTTGGTGGTGTGTTCGGGCAAGCAAGGGAGCGAAGAGAGGCGATCGATACGGGTCTGGCGAGGTTTGTAACATACTGGAACGGAATTGTTCGTCCCGGGCCAAAATTATCTTCTCCTTCAGAGACAGGAGCTGCATCCCAGAATCCGCCTGTGGTTCCTGAGGCAGTAGGCAGCTCAGACACGGTTTCTTCGCTACCCTCGCCTCGTTGATTGCGGATCTCAGTCATGTAAGCATCTTTCGTTGGTGACGGAGGTTCCAATCGAGGAGTGCTGACAGATGGGCCGGGCTGGAATTTGACTGATTCGCTCGTTGAGCCTCCCAGAGCAGCTGCTACCGCACGCATGCTGTCCGACACTGGCAACGCCGCCCCCATGGCACGCTTCTTCTGAGGTGCGTCTGTCGCAGGGTGTGTCGTCGGTGGAACAGGGATAGCCACGCTGTCAAGGGCAAGATAGCCGTCCTCGCTGATATCGGCAATCATATGATGGTGCTGTAGCACTGCAGTTTGGTGCCGGCCTCTTGCCTTGCGGATGGAAGCCATGTCGCCGAGCGGTGATCCTGCCTCATCCTTGCTAGCCAGGTCAGAAGATGAGCTGGAAGAAGCGGGAAGGTCGGAAAAGTCGGCAGAGCTGACGGGAGGTGCACGCGCGATCAGTTTTGCACTGGCAGCACTGCCACTTCGCTTGAGACTCAGTGAGCGCTTGATACGGCCGGCCTTGCTGGCAACGCTCAAGCTACGTACTGCTCCAGGTGTGCCCGGTCGCGAAGGTGGAGAAAGGGGGCCGTCGTCTGGAAGGATATCGCGGGCTTCGTCGATCTCGTTTGCTTCAACATCTTGCTTGTAGTCTGAAGGGGCAGCATGCTCGAATCCTGGCGCATCGGAACTCGGTACGATTTCTTGGGCGCACAACGACTTGATGTGGACGTCCTGAGGTTGTGCAAGGGGTGTGTGGGTGCTGTTGAGCTCGGCTAGTTTCATAAGCCCTTTCTCCTTGGTCAGTGGTGTGACAGCCGCAGTAGATGCGGAGGAGTCAGATGTCTGAGATGAGTGTTGAAAGATATTGCGTGCCTGAAGACGGTGGATGGCAGCATTGTCGCCTCGAGCCTTGCGTGGAAGAGAGTCAAGAGCGTTCTTGGATCGACAGCCAAAGAAGCCGCCCTTCTTCTTCTTGGGTGGTGGTGTCGACATGCTTGCTGACGCAGAGGTCAGCTTGGAGGGCATCTTGGTCGAGCTGCAAGCTTGGAAAGGCAGAACGGTGTAAGGGAGGCGAGGATTGCTGGGAAGATGGTGGCGAAGGGTGGATGCAAAGAAGAGGACGTCCGTGGAAGTTAGGATCAAGAGAGGTCAGGCTTGAAGTGGAGCACACTCAGGGGTCGAAGCAACAATCGGGAGCATCAACAACAAGGCACAAGCACCAACTAAGCTCTAACTGACCGTGGTCGACACTGCTTCGCGTCTCTCCCCCACAAGGAGATAAGGCAGACCACAGGCTTTGTTGGAGGAAGAATGTAGCTATGGATGAACTCCGATGGGTCGAACGTGGATTGGTCAACGCCACAATTTCAGCAGCCCAAATAGGCAGGAGGACCAGATTAACTTAGCGGCAGGGATCAAGCGCTGCATTTGCAGCAAGTTTGCAGTGATGCACAAGCGCTGTTTCGTCCGATCTACGATGCAGCATAGCCTCATTCCCACCTCCGCTACTTTACTTCATCTTCAGCCCGTCCTTTAGCTGCTTGACTCAGTCTTCCTTACATCTTCCTACGGAAGTAGTTCAAGGTTGTGGACTCTTCGATTACTATATAGCTGTATGAGCCGAAGGGCAATGGTCGAGCTGTCAGGGTTCGCTTGTCAAATCAAAACATCGCTCAGGGGTCTTGGCATGAGAGACAACAACACTTCAACGCGTCATTGACACTGGAGCTGTGCCTGAGGGTTGAAGTTAGATCCAAGCAGCCTTTGGGCGGAAATTGTTGAAACACGAGATCGTTGCAAAGTTGCCCGATACGACCTTATCGACAATACTGTCCGGTGCGCAATTCCGGAACTACGCACGGGCCCGACTATAGATCATCCGACCTTGCCGAATGCTCACTATTGCACTTCTGTCTTCCTAACAAAATAATACCTTTCACCATGCCGGTCAACCTCCTCAACGACAATACAACAGTGCACTTGGAGTTGCCCAAGTCGAAAGCTTCGGCAGAGGTCCGCCTCTTCGGGGCCACTGTCACCTCGTGGAAAGCTGCTGGTGGTAGCGAGCGACTTTTCCTCTCCTCCAAAGCTGCGCTCGACGGCAGTGCCGCTATTCGTGGCGGCATTCCTATCGTCTTTCCAGTCTTTGGCTCGCCGAAGGATCATGTCGATGCTCCTGAAATCGTCACCAAGCTTGGCAAGCACGGTTTCGCACGCGACCACGACTGGGCCATCTCTACCCACGTCCCCCGCATCGACGAGGAGGACAAAGCCAGCGTCACTCTGGAACTTCGCACTAACAACAAGCCCGAGGTAAAAGCTGTATGGCCCTTCCAGACTGTACTACAGTACACCGTCACTCTCTTGCCAAACGAGCTCAAGTGTGAACTCAAAGTGCAGTATCTTGACGGTGAGGGTGAGATGCCGTTCCACGCACTCCTTCACAACTACCTTCTTGTCCCTGACTCGACCAAAGCCTCCGTGCAGGGTCTCAACGGCATGCACTACACCGACAAAGTCAAGGGTGGCGAAGAAGCACAGCTTAGTACGGACAACTTCACATTCGACGCACAGCCTATTGACCGCGTTCACGTGGGCAAGCACAAGAACAGCCCCGCCGGAGAAGCACCGAGAGACGTCAAGCTACTTTACAACGCCAGCCTCCTGCAAGATCCACTGGGAAGGATGGGCAAGGGTGTCGAAGTCACAAGATCAGCAGAACTCAGGGACACGGTGCTGTGGAATTGCGCTGAAGAAGGCAATAAGAGCATTAGCGATCTGGAGGAAGGTGGTTGGAAGAAGTATGTTTGTGTTGAGCCCGGTGCGGTTCACGGGTTCGAGAAGCTGGAGAAGGGCAATACTTGGACTGCGACGCAGACTCTGACCGCCTGGTGAGCTGTATTACCCCTAATACTGATTTAATGAGATCTACCCTTCTTCGAGGACCAAGTCAAGTTCACGTTGTGTTCTCCGAATGCGTTGTATGAGAGCAGCCGTGTGAAATGAGCTGAGTTGGGAGATCGCTAGCGAGGATGGTCATGCGTAAGTAGGTGGGACAACTGTTGAGTGACTGACTGAAACGGACTGTTCCAAGTGGAGGCATTGGAGCTTTTCCGAAGAGCTCGGCAAACGAAAACAAGGCTCCTTAGACATCAAGGGTTTAATGATATTTTGTGCTTACACCATCCCACATCGGTGATAGATGCAAGCAACCAACGTATCTTTCTGACAGTTCAACATTAGTACATGAAGTGCCTCTTTGCTTACTCCTTGACGTTCTCTTGGCTTCATTACCATTCCCTTCAAGTGGCACGGCCTGGTCCAAGGCATATGAATGCTGCTCCGCATCCAACCAGCTTATCGTAGCAGCTTCCTTTCCAGCCGGCCTTTTGTGCGTAGCTTTCCTGGACCGAGAACACGGCAGCTCCTCTTCAGCACCACCACCGTCATGGCGCGCAAGTCAGCACGGACGATCGCAGCTGCCGAAGCAGCTGCCTCAAACCAATCTGACGAGGATACATCTGATCTGTCTCCAAGGTCATGCTTGACGTGCGGACGGGTGATCACACCTCGAGCCAAGTGGGCGAAGGATTGGGCGGGTATCAAGTACTGCTCTAATCGCTGCAAGACAACAAGGCCGGGAAAGGTGGTAGCGAAATTTACACACCACGGGGATCTGGGAGATCTGTCAGGACGCACCAGTGTGAAAAGGGACGCAGAAGAAGTGAAAGTTGACCTAGAGACGTTCGTTGAATCGGTACTACTGGATGTTGCTTTCAGTCAGAAGGATGATACGCTGGAAGACGTTCATGAGAAGATTCGAGACTTGCTGAAGAGCGCATTGATACCCTTTGATCAAGGCAAGGAGAGGGATAGTGGTTCAAGCGACCACGAAAGAGACGACCCAAAAGGAGAAACGCATCCGCTTTGGAAAGCCTTGGACAGTCCACCAGGCATGAGAGAGCGCGTCAAGAGAGCTGCAAGACGTCTTGCTTTAGGCATCACGCACGACTCAAATCCAAAGCAAACCAACATCACGTCCACAGACAAGGGCTCCATAGAGCTTCTGCAAGGAGGAAAGCCGCTACGCACAGTTGAACAGTTGTCATTCGCAAAAGGCGTCATTCATGTCAGGCGGAAAGCGTAAAAATCAGAGCAGCATTCCACAGTAAGCCCATCTGTTCGCTTCTGTTTCAAAGTGGTCTCCAACCAAAGTGTGCATGAATCCTTGACGAGATGCAATGAAATTTGGCTCGCTCAAGGGTTTGTCTCTTCATTCTTCATTGATAACGTTGATCCTCTCCATCTCTTCATCGCTCAGCTTGGGCAAAGGGATATTATGTTTCATCCAGTTCTCGTTCGTTGACTTTGGCGCGACCGAAGTTTCTCGCTGAACGGCCCAGCTAAGTGCGATATCGGCGGCGGTGGTGTTGTGCTTCTCTGCGATGACTACCAAGTCCTTGTCAGAAGTGATGGCTCACGCAGTGTTTGTGAACGATTTGATTCTGTAAGATGAGATGGAAAACTTGTACATGCGTCAAGTACGAGACTTGCGCTTACCCAAGAAGATCATATCGCTGCTTTTGTTGCCGGTGTCGGAGTCAGAAACAACGAGGAAATTGGAGGCAGCGTGTCACGTCCGCTCTCTCGTGCGAATACTAGCCGCACGAGAATGCTCGATCGATATCCTCTCGGGCGAATACACACCGCACAAGAAAGTTCGATACCTATCTTGCAAATCTTTGCTTGTATGGAAGCTAGTTTAGGTACTAGCTTCCATCTAGATCTCCTCCTTCCTGCAATCCACTTAGTTACAGTTGAAGATGCATTGGCATCTCAAGCAGAATGCATGAGCTATAGCCAAGACACCAAGGGGTCAAAAGTGTGCATAAGCAAGAGACACAATGAAGAACATGAAGGTTGCCATAACAACAGCTCAGGGGCATCACAGAAAGCAGCAACTCAGGGGGTTATGGAAGAGATGATTCATCTGGCTCAGACATGACCAAGGGTGGCAATAGGGTATATATACATGCCCATCATTAGGATGTAGATCATAGAAATACTAAGCATTAAAAGAAGACATATGACTGTGGTAAGGGAGCCTGATCATGGCCCCATTAATGGCATATACTAATTGTTATCTTCAAGTGATTAAGAGTCTGAAGAAGCCATCAACCGAGTGTCACAGGGCCAGTGCAGAGATCATAAGCAGCCATGCTGTGCAGCTGCCGAAATGAGCTCAGCACACTGGAAGCAGAACTGGTCGAGACCCAGGGGCTCCAACCAATCTCACCGAGAATGGTCAGACAGCAAGCTGGGGGGAAACCTCATCGAGAATAGTGAATGAGTGGATCTGGCATCCACTCTATTCTTAACTAAACTATACTCTACTGTAATGTATACTTAGTTGTTCTGTCACATAGTGCAATTGCAGGCCATTGCTACTAATCCAAGCAGGTGTGTCATATCACCTCTCACTGATGTTGTCTGTAGGCAGTAGTTACTGCAGTCCAGATAATCACCTCTCTGAAGGCAGTGCTCCTACTGCAGTCTGGGTTTCTCTCACCAATTTGCCATTTGCTCATTGACACCTAGAACACTCATGCCAAGGCAATGGATCACCATCCTGTATATTAAGTGTTTTGCAACAAGCAGGAATCGACTGTGCCACATTACCACTGAACTGAGTGTTCATGGCAGTTAGCTAAAACTCGTCAAACAAACAACTCCTCAAGCAGTCTCAGTGAAAGTGGCCAACAGGTGCATACTCAAGAGTGCTCACTGAAACTGGTTGAAATCACCCAAACTGGTAGCTTTCGGGTTCCAGGCACACGACTGCTGACACCGAGCTAATCAAAGCCCAGCAACAATCATGGTAGAAGACACCAAACCCCAAGCTGGCACCAGCACAAGAACCAAAGGAGGCAGGAAAGGCAAGACGGCCCAGGTGCAAGCCAATAACAAAGCTATCAATGGGAATGAGTCAGAGGTTATTGACAATGAAGCCAATGAAGAAGCTGACTCTGACTCTGACTTTGACAGTGGTGATAAACAATATAACTTTCACACCTTAGCAAAGCTCCTTGAGCCCTAACTGAAGCTTACGTCATGCAGCTACTATAGCTGGAGCACCCATGTAAAGTCATTCCTCTGATCCATATCTCATGCTATGAAACATCTTGAGGAAGCATACGACAAGAAACACCCGAAATGGAGCCGCACTCTCGATGACACCCATCCACTCTACACCATACATTACTAGCTATCACTTTACAACAAGTATCCTTAGTATTCCATCAACAAGTTGCAATCACATAGCATTGCTTCTACTGTAGTGCATATGTTGTATCACCACTCATTGACATCATCCGAAGGTGGTATTAAATGTGGTCCAGATAACGATCAACACCAAAGTCAATTCACAGTGAGGTCCAGCTCTCTTGATCATAAAACTGAAGGCAGTTGTCTGCTGCAGTCTGGGGATCACCTCTCATTCAATTGACACACTGGACACTTGTGTCAAAGCAACCTCATTGGCACCAGACCTGGGTGACATTGCAACATATCTACTGTTATTGATTGTGCCAAGCTACCTCTGGATGGAGTGTCCACAGCAGTTAGTCAAAACCTGTGATAACTTTTAAGCTACCACATATTTGAGCAAGAAAAGTCATAGAAGGCTTCTATGACAGATTTCAGCAAGAATAATAATAAAGGCCATTTACCACAGATCTTGATAAGATCAGTAGTAGTTGCCTTTCTACTACAGATTTCGGGTTCCAGGTGCGTGACCTCTGACAGAAGGCTTCTACAACAGATTCAAGCAGGAACCATATTAGAAGGCCTTTACTACAGATCTCGCTGAGATTAATTGTAATTGCCTTTTACTACAGATTTTGGGTTTCAGGCACGCAACTGCTGACACAGACCATTTGAGGATACCATGGCCAAATCAAGGAGGAAAGCTATGACAACTGTGGCATATAACAAGCACCAAGGTTGGCAGAGCAGGCAAACTGAACTCAACAAAGAAGGCAAAGGCAGAGGCAGCAGGCAGAGGGCTCACAGCATACAGGGGATGTTCAACAGGCTTTGCAGACATAGCAATGGCAATATGAATGGTGTCAATAATGACTGTATCTACTTTGATTGTGTGATGAGAGTGTCAAAGACAGTGGAGCTACAAGGTGGTTCAGATTCCAGAACTGCTTCATTTTCTGGCCAACACTTCATATTCTGGCCAACACTTCATATTCTGGCCAACACACACTTTTCTTTTCTCATCTTGAACTTGTCTTGATCTCATCTCCATACACTCCTTTCTTGTCAGCACTGCTCAACATACACCACTTTGACATCAATGGTCAACATCTCACCTAGGAAGAGGGTTGCAAAAGCCCAGCTGCAGACTGACAGGGACCAGAAGGAGCATAAGATCCAGGAAGCTCTTAGTGCATTCCAGAAGGGTCAATTCAAAGACTTGAAGGCTGCTGCTGAGCATCACAATGTCCCTTACAACACTCTCTGGGATCACAGCAAAGGGTGCAAGAGCTGCACTGCTGCCTTTCAACATCTGCAGGCTATACCACCAGAGGCTGAAGAGCTCTTAGTCTGACATATACAGAAGCAGGCTCACTATGGTTTCCCAGTAACACCACAGAATCTCAGACAATTGGCCAAACAACTTCTCAGGCAGAGGACTGACAACAATGATGCTACTCTTGGACCTAATTGGGTGTCTGCTTTCAAGCAGTGACATCCAGAACTCAGAAGCTACTACTCTCACAAGATGAATGCTGCAAGGGTACAGGCCACTAGTGATCCATCAGTTGTTAAAGCATACTTTGATGTCTTGGAGAAGACTATTGCTGAGTATAGGATCCTACCCAAAAACATCTTCAACATGGATGAGACTGGGTTTCTCATTGGACAAAGTCAATGCCAGTACATCATTGTATCCAGGGAGAATGGGAAGAATCAGCACTTCAGGTCACTGCCAGGCAATCAGGAGACTATCACAGTGATTGAGTGCATTGGTGCATGAGGGACAAAGCCACCACCTATGGTTATCTTTCAGGGCAAGAACCACATGCAGGGCTGGTACTGCAATCACACTGCAGCTAAGGACTGGGTCTTTGCAACAAGTCAGAATGGCTGGACCAAGAATGAGCTTGCACTACACTGGCTCAAGGACTGCTTTGACAAGCACACCAAGCAAAGGGCTCAAGGAAAGTATCAGCTGCTTATCCTTGATGGTCATGGCTCCCACATCACAGCTGAGTTCATTCAGCAAGCATGGGACTCCTGCATTGTCTGTCTCTGCCTTCCTCCCCATGCAACACACCTCCTACAGCCACTTGATGTTGTGATATTTGGACCTTTGCAGCAAGCCTTCACCAAGGAGGTTGACAAGTTTGCTGGAGCAAATCTTTCAATCAGTAAGAAAGATTTCATTGACATGTACTGCAAATCACAACAGGTCATTACAAGCACCTTAGCATCACAAGCCTTCAGAGACATTGGGATCAACTCAAAGCTCCACCCAGAGAAGGTTCTATGGCACATGCCCAGTGTCAGAGGTCGCGCGCCCAAAACCTGATATCTGTAATAGAACTGCGTCTATTATGAATTCCATCAAGAAATGCAACAATGCTTGTGGTATTATGATTCTTGGTGAGATATGTAGTAAAGATGTCTCTATCACTTTTCTCACTCAAAGATGCAGTAATGGTTTTGCTATTGCAGGTTTCGACTAACTGCTGTAGACACTCTGTCCAGAGGTAGCTCAGCATGATCAATAACTTGAATGTATTGCATGACACCAAAGGTCTGGTGTGAGTGAGATGATTGGTAGCACCAACATGAGTGTCCAGTGTGTCAACTGAATGCTTGAGGTGATCCCTGGACTGCAGTGGATGACTGCCTTTGGTTCTATGATTGTGAGCCAGACTGCAGGTTGCTATGAACCACCTTTGGTGTCAATCATATCTGGACTGCTGGTTCTATGAACTGCCTTCAGATGTCAGTGAGCAGTGATACAACACACATGCTACAATGGAAGCAATCTACTTGTGATTGCAACTATGCTGACTGAAAACTAATGTATACTTGTCAAAGTGATAACTAGTTTATGGTGTAGAGTGGATAGAGATCCACTCGACCACTTAGGATGAGAAAGTATGGTTATATACATCTTTGCAGCATCACCTGCGACTCTGCTCTGGCTCTCTCTCCAGAGAGTACCTTCTTTGTTGAGCACTGTGGTAGCAGTCTCTACCAAGACATCTCCTCCTTGCTGGCCCCTGCTTCTCCTGCTCCTGGATTGAAGAGAGCCATGTCACCTCATTGCTGATAGGGGTTGCCCCACTTCATCCCAATGACAATGCTTGCCCCCTCTTCCATCTACCTCCTGACATTGGCACCCATCCCATGTGCCAACTTCATCATTGTGTAGGGTCCCTACCTCATCCAGTGGTGACCACAAAGGTCCATGTCACTAGTTCCTACTGGTTCCATCATATGATCACCCTTGCCACCTAATCTCTGTGGAAAATGCCATATGATCTTGCTTGCTACTGATCCTGGTGGGATTCATGATACCATCTTCTCTCATGCCAATTTGTGTGAGGTCTGCCATAGAGCCATTTCTTGTGCAGATCTCAGTAAACTCTTCCACAAGTCCTACAATCCACCTGATTCCTCGATTCCCATGCTCCCTTCATATGAGTTGATGGATCTTCTTGCTTCCTGCGCATTCAGACCCATGACATCCAGCTACCATCGAGAATCAATGCCTCCATCTTCAGCTCCTGCAGTTGAGGAGACTCCAACAACTTCTTCTACTCCAGAGGAAGCAAAGAAGATGTTAGCACAGATGTATGCCATCATGGATTGGGATCAAGAAGAACAGCAGGCACTTCTGGCAAGCAATCACTGACAAGGATGCATTTGGATGAAGAAGGTAGGTAAGTTCATGGACCTTCTCTTTGGCCAGCATGCAATTGATCAAGCCTGCATTCAAGAGCTCACAGCAGCCCACTCTAAGAAGCAACATGCACTCCCAGGTGATAGGAATCAGTTGTCACAGGCCAGGGTACTACACCAAAGCAACTTACCAAGGCTACTTGCAGCACAAGAAGAGCAGGCTCAGAAGGATTCAGGAACAAGGGCTCAAAAGGGCAAGAAGCAAGCAAAAGGCAAAGAGCAAGCAAGCAATCAAGAGAGCCTGCCAGTCCAGCCAACACCAACCTTGTCATCTGAAAGAAGCTTCTGGCTTCTGCAATTGATGTTGCCTTTTCCAGGTTATGAGTCTATGTCAATGGTACCCCCACCTCTGCCTTTTGCTAGTTCAAGTACCTTCCCTGTCAAGCCCCCACTGCCCAGGTGGCAGCCAATGCCACCCTTCCTTCCACCCATGCTGCCCTTCATGTGATCCTATGTTGCATTGCAATTCAAGTGTTGTTGTTATGCTTTGATATAGTGAAGGTCCACATCATGGTGGACTGGCCTGCTTGTCATGTGTGTGTGTGTTGAACAAAAATTGACTGGAGCTGCTGCCTCAAAATTTTGAAATTGAGAGGGGGACTTGGCTGTTTCAGCAATTTTGAGTCCAGAAACTCCCAAGTCCCCCGGCCATTTCCAATCCGAGACCTACGTGAATTTGACATGTACATGAACTACGTTAACACGAAAAAATCAAGTGGATTGCAGTCAAAGAGCCGTGAGGTCCTCGAAGCTCCGCAAGGAGGCTCCTGACCAACCCTAACTGGGGGCTGGTCGAGCGCAGAGACGAGCGGAAAGGGAGGCTATAAAGGGAGGGCAAATTAAAGACGAACCAGGCTGCTAATGGTATGCCTGGCTCCTGGTGAATATGATGTAGTGGAGAGTCGAGAGGAGAAGCGGAACAAGTCAATTGTTGAGTCCAGCCCCAGACGCGCACACCTTCTTGACAATCAGGTGATGCATTCACGTCAGATCGGAGTCAGCGAAGCATGGTGTTTGCAGTGTTGGTCTCAGATGACGATTAAGCACCAGCTTTGAAGGGCGATCTAGGCCATATCGGGCTCCGTGAAGGAGTCTCCCTTGAACCCACTTCTGAGGTCATGACAGGACGGGACCATTGTGGCTGCCTCGTGTCTACTCGAACTGATAGACCGTGATACCGTCCCTTGGAGACAGGACTGTGACATGTGGCGACTCCATGGATCGCCGAGGCACAATCAGCGGCAGCTCTCCGTAAAGTGTACCCGGTGGCTCTCGTTGGTAGGGCTCGGGAGATTGCGGTCAACTTTCGCGAGACTATGCGTTCGTCGTCTTAAAAATCGAAAAGGCGTTGTCGGTGATGGTGTTGGTGGTGGTGTCGTCAGTGTAAGCAATCAAACACATCAGCTATCGGTCCAAATCCATCTTTACAGCTTTGTTCACAGACAGAGATCACGGCACAGTCGGCTCGTTGCAGATGTGATGCTTGATTTGGCCCAACACAGTAAGAAGTGAGGAAGTATCTACCGGCTTAGCCGAAATGTGACAGGTTAGCTGTGGGACTTGCGTGCAAATGTCTGAAGTCTGAATAAACGGTCTGGTTTTTAGACACACTTCTGCTCAGCAGCAAGTGCCCAGAACTCTCCTCTCTTCTGCAGCAGCTCCTGCGGACTACCTGTCTCGATAGCTCGGCCAGCTGACATGCAAATGATCTGGTCAAAGTCGATGATGGTAGCAATCCTATGAGCTACTGCGATCACAGTACAATCTGCGAATTGTGTCGACAACACGTTCTGGACTGCTGCGTCTGTCTCTACATCCATGGCACTGGTTGCCTCGTCCAGGACCAGGATCCTTCGCTTTCGAAGCAAAGCTCGAGCGAGCGACAGAAGCTGCTTTTGGCCCGAACTGATAAAAGTATCACCTGTCAGCAGGAGGGTATCAAGCTTGCTCTCCTGCTTGTTGACAAAGTCAGCCAAATCGCATTTCCTCACTGCATCCCATAGCTCGTCCTCTGTGCAGAGACCTTCGGGGTCGAGGTTCTCCCGGATCGTAGCTGCCAAGACAAGCGGGTTCTGAGCCACGATGGTCATCTGAGAGCGTAGCTTGCGTGCTGACATACCAGTGATGTCCTTGCCGTCAATGCGGATAGTGCCGGAACACATCTCTATCATGCGGAACAGTGCCAACAATGTGGTGCTCTTTCCGGAACCTGATCGACCGCACAGGCCTAGACGCTTGCCAGCTCGAAGATCAAAGCTGAGCTCCTTGACCGCCGGCTCCAGCTCAGGACCGTACGAGACAGTGACCTTGTCAAAATTGATGTCGCCACGGATCGCGGACGTAATGGTGGTCGTACTCGAGTCGTCGTCCTTGTCCTTGTCGTCCTGCTGTCCAATGAGGACCTTCTCCTCTGGTTCGATGTCGGCGAACTCGCGTACGCGTTCCAAAGCTACACCGGCTATTTCGACTTCCGTGAAACTGATGACCGTGTGGTTGAGCAATATACCCAGTTGCGTAGCTTGGACGAGCGCGACACCAAACAAGCCTGCCTGCGAGGAGTGACGCAGAACCACGACTAGCAAGACGAGCGTCACGTTGGTGATGGTTGTGAACAGAAGGAGCCATGTCTGTAACCATCTTCGCACAGCAAACAGGTGATAGTAAGGCGTCTGAGACACGTCAAGGGCTTCGGTGTTTACCTCGACCAAGTTCGCTTCTCGCTTCAATCCGCGCACCGTGGCGAGGCCCGATGGCGACGACGTCTCCGAGAACAGTGAGTAGAGGGGGCTCTTGGCAGCCATTTCCAAACGGCGTAGCTGGCGACTGGATGGGATGTAAAGACGTTGCATGGCCCATGATGCTGCAATTAGGACGACACCAAGAACGGCAAGATAAGGCGCAGGGACGATCATGGTAACCAATGCAGCCAAGAAAGACAGAGCAACAAAAACCGAGTTCGTGATGGCATTAGTGAAGACTTGGTCGACGTTGAAGAGATCCTGCGAAAAGCGATTAGTGATCTGACCCGAGCTCCACTTAGAGAAGAACGAGATGGGAGCTGACAAGACACCCCTCAGCTCTGCAGCATGAAGTCTGTTGCCTGCCGATTCGGCGCAATTGACGTTGACGATCCAGAATCCGATGGCTAGGAAGAGAGGGTTGAAGAGGATCAAGCAGGCATACCCGCCGAGCCAAGCGCCCCAGGCTTGCAGCCGATGCTTCTGCTGGGCTTTTGTCCAGGCTTGCAAATAGTACGATCCTCCGACGCTAGAGACATTTGCGAAAACGGCGCATGCGAAGAACAAGTAAACTTTCCAGCGGCCTGCAGCTCTGAACCAGGTGGCATAGACCCTCCAGCCGACGGATCCGGTCATGACAGTCTCTTGCTTCTCCGCTGCGCCCGTCTTGATGGCCTTGTCCTTTGCAGCTGGCTCGGCAGGCTTCACGCGAGACGAGTCGAGACTGGCTCGTGAGATGGCGTCCTTGCCCTTCATCGAGAGCTGTTCGTATCGGCCTTGCTCAGCAACCTTGCCAGCGTCGATACGGACAACAAGCTTGGCGTGATGCAAGAGGTGGACAGCATTGGTGGCCATGACCACAGTTTTGCCCTTTAGCAAGCCCGTATGACCCATGAGAGACCGCCACATGTGGGCGGCAGTCTCTGCATCGAGAGCGCTGGTAATGTCGTCGAACAGATAGGACTCGGCTTCGCTGTAGATGGCTCGAGCAACAGCCAGTCGCTGTCGCTGTCCTCCACTGAGTGCGCTGGCCGTAGTGCTGTCACCTTCCTGCAAGGTTTCAATGTCCTCGGTGAGAGCACAGGCTTTAAGAGCCGTGATGTAGCGCTCCTCGTCATACTCGCCAGTGGCAAAGATGATGTTTTCCCGAATGGAGCGCTTCTCTTGCAGCCAGACGTCCTGGCTGACGTAGGCCGTGCGACCCGAGAGCAAAGGAAGACGCTGTTGACCGTTGATCAGATCCGACTCGCCAAGGATAGCCTGCAATAGTGTCGACTTGCCCTGGCCCAAACGACCGCAGATCATCGTGAGCGAGCCTTGAGGGATTTCGAGATTGACGTTGGACAGAACCACCTCCCTGTCCCACCCAAGATCAGCGTTCTCAAATTTGGCGGCGTAGGGCGCGTCGCCAGTTGTCGCGAGACCAGCAAGTTCATCGTGAATAGCTTGTTGGAGATCAGGCTTGTCCTCGCTGTTGAGGAAGTGCTCGATGCGCTTCATGCTTGCCCAAGCCTGCAACAGATAAGAGTATTGCTGACCAATCTGGAGCAAGGGAGCCTGCAGGATGCCAAAGATGGTGAGCGTGGTGAAGATGGTATTTAGGTTGAATCGGTTGGAGCCGCTGAGCTTGTCGACGATGATCAAAGTGATGAAGGTGGCGACACCGAGCATCTCGCCAGTACTGTTGCTAAAAACTACAACGCCAGTGATCTGCTTGTTCACATTACTGCGACGGGCTAGCTCGTCTGCACGAGTCTTGCAAATTTTTTCGTGGATAACATTTTCATAGGCAGAGAACTTGACTCCCTTGATATCGGATGTAACGCTCGAGGTGAGATTGACACGCTTGTCGGTCATCGCGCTCCAAGCAGCTTGTCTACCACCGATGCCGCGACTGGCAAGAGGAGTAAGAAAGAAGCAGATGAAAACGGAAACCATGGGGGCGAAAAAGACAAAGCCAAGGGTGTTGAACAGGAGATACACGCCGATAGCGATGGTGATGATACCGCTCCAGAGCGCGTGAATGACGTCGACGGCCTTGACTACACGTTCACTGTCAACGCTCATGAGGTTAGCCGCTTTGCCACCACCACTGGTTCGAGCGGTCCTAACATGAAGGTTGAGACCCTTGCGATAGACGGCCTCGACGTAAGCACCGCGGATCTTGGTCATGACTTGGGAACTTGCATACCAGTATTGACCGGTAGCGAGGGTTTGGCCGAGGTAAATGAAAGCGTAAGCGCCGACGAGACCCCAGCCGTATACGACAGGTTGAGCAGAAGCTGGGTCGTCCTTGTGGACGCCGGAGTACGACTGGACAAAGGCTAGCGTGGTAGAGACAAGCAAGGGCTGAGCAAGCTCGCAAGCAGTCAGCAGCAACTTCCATGGGACAGGAGCCAGAGTGCTGAGAGGGAAGGCGAGTAGCGTGGCTGAAAGGATACCGCGCTTATTTTGCCTTTTAGGGAAAGGGTTGCCGTTGTACAGAGGAGCATGCTTAGGTGACGTTGCAGCAGTCGAGGAGTTTGAGTGCGAGGTGGCAAGCTTCTCGAGCGGATAAGCATCGATGCTGGAGCGCGAAGGACTGCGCTTCAGATCAGCATGGGTGTCGAAGGGGCTGGGGTCCGACGTGGTTAAGTCGTCTTTTGTGCCGATTGAAGCCCCCGTCCAGCTTGCAATGAAGCTCTGTGCCAGTTGACGACCATAGAAGTCGGGCTTGAGAGAATCGAGGTCTGCGAGCTCGAGCGGTTTGCGGAAGCCGCTCCAGAGGAGAGGGAAGACCCAAATGAACAAGAGACGCGAGAAGAAGCTGGCACGGGATTCATGGGTGGAATTGACGTCCACGGTGAGAATCCCTTTGGCATTCTCTGCGGCGAGCATGAGCGCCTGGAAACCGAAGGCAAGAATGTAAACGGAGAAGAAGGAGGAGTGTCGGATAGTAGGGATAGCGTTGAAGGTACGAATACGACATGCGTTGAAGAGCAAGGTGAAGAGAAGCCAAAGAGGCAAGACCATGTTGCCGCCGCGTGTCTTTCTGCGCTCAGCTACCGACAGAGGAATTGCTAGGATTGCCGTCAGAAAGGTGAGCACGACGCTGGTCATGCCGGTGCGGTCACCCATGGCCTGACGCAGCGGGGTAGAGGAAGGGGAAGCCAGGAGACCGACGAGTGCCAAGCTGAGGATGGCGTTGGTCACGTAAACAAAGGCCCCAAAGAGGCTGACGGGGTCCGAGTGAGGGGTGCATGATCGTAGAAGCGAGAGACGAGGCTGAGCTGAGGCGGTAGGAAGGTCCGGCTTGCGACGAATGCGTACGAGTCGTGCGGCGATGAGCACGAAGGCGAGGCACGAAGGCAAAATGGCGAAGAGGACGTTCGAGAAGGTGACAGTGAAATCAAAGTAGCGGCAGTCCGAGACTGGCGTCAAGACGCCATCGTTGCAAACTGCCATGGCCTGTCGATCAACGATGGGAGGCGACCGTTGTATGAGGAAGGACACGCCCAGAGCCGGTCAAGGATGCTGTCAAGGTGGTGTATACTGAGCGGTTAGAACGAGCAGATGCTTGGTCTGAGGAGGAGGGAAGGGAACGGGGGAAAGCCTAAATATGAGCGGCTTAAAATAGGTTAGCAGACCTGAACAACATGATGGTAGAGCCGTTGGACAGAAAGAGGTTCAGTTGGACTGCAGCGATAGCAAGCATTCGGGGTAATACGTAGGGGCAAGATCAATAATAGCTGTGAGGCAGGTCGACAGTTGACAGGCGAGGATGCAGGTCTCCAACGGAAGGTTTTGTGTCCACATGGTGGAATCTGCAGGCACGGGAGCATCACAGGTGTTGTTCTCTCAATCGAAAAAGATGGTGTAGCCGAGGCTGGCTCCTTCTTTGTGATAATGGTCCAGGCTACACATCTGGGCACGCTATCGGTTGCACCAAGCTCCTCAGCTGCCGCGAAATCGGCGGATTCCTTCCTCAAGAAAGTGTAGTGAACCTTTATCGCATGGATCGCAGACACGCCGGAAGAGGCTTTTCCGACCTTTCCATGCGTTCTCCGCCCGCCTTTGCGAGCTCTCTCCTGTCGAAAAGATGGGCAACACCGTGTGACTCGTTTGTTCATGTCCGCGGTCTCTTGACCACGTTAGAGGGTCTGTCAAGACAGCATCTGCCTGCACGTGACAGCTTCCAGACACAGCTTTGTGAATGCTGTGCGTTCTTTCAATTCTTCGATCCATCAATCCTTCTTCGTGATAGAATCGGCGAAGTTGAAAATATAGACACCACTTCGTTGGGGCCACGATCAGGCTCCCTTCGTACAGGTGTGTAGCAACTGCAATGCTTGTCATATTCAAATGGACTGGGGCTACAAACATGAGTATATATATATATATCTTGGCACCATCTCCGAGAACATTGAACTGCCTTGGACGAATCGAGTGTCTCTCCTGCAGAGGCCCTGAGCCGTTGCCATGCCATCACCTTGATGCAATTCACGTGTCTGAGTAAGCTCGTGAGTAAGCGGCGTTTGCTTTTCGCCCTGTCGGCCTTCCGGATAAAGCCTGGAAATTCCGACATATCTTCAACTGGCGAATATCCCGTCCATAGAACTGCGCTCCTAATTCTCGACTAGTGTCCTTCAACACTACGATTCACTTCACAGAACACACTCTTCCAAGTACATTAAGGCATGAGAACAAGAAAAGGACTTGTAGAAGAACACGGAAGCTCATCCATGCAGGTCTGATAGAATACAGCGAGGCAGCGGAGTCCTGGAACTAGCGGAATGATTACAAGGTCTGACTTGGCCTTCATTGAGAGTACAGAGGGACTGGAGGAGGTAGCAGATGGGAATGACAGGGAAGAATGAAAAAGAGACAGCTCGGCGCCCCTCTTAACGGTAGCCGTAGCCCAAGCTGGGCAGCTGAGAAGGGCGTTCTCCACTTCGACCCGTGCTAAGTTGTTGGTTGATGGTGCTATAAGGATCGGCTGCATAGCCGCCAGGGACACCGCCAGAGCCGTAGGCGTTGTAGTCGTACGATGGTCTGCTGTAGCCTGGTGCTGCTCCAGCACGGCCATCAGCGAAAGGATCTGCGGCGTAGGCTGGGCTCATGCCATACTTTGCCTCAATGTCGGCCAACGGGTTGCTGCCTCGTCTGTCATATGAAGCCGTATGAGGCTGTCCTCCACCATTGTAAGGCATCGGTGCTTCACCGTAGCGCCCATCGCCGCCGTCGCCGTATCTGGCTGTCTTGTTAGTCTCGTCGAACGCGTCGTCGTCGTCGAGGTCGTTGATTGGCTCGAATGCCGAGTCTTCGTTGGGATGCACGAAAGGAGGGATGCGAGGGCCGTTTTTGCGTTCCAACTTCCACTGACGCAGGAAGAGTAGAAGAGACAAGAACCATGTGACCCAGAGAAACCAGCAGAAGGCAGCTTCGGCCCGCTTGGTGCGGCACCATCCGCCGAGCTGATTGACAAAGTCTTCACGATCCTTGCCGCCGGCATGTGGGTCCTTCTTTGGGTCCTTGCAGCCAGGCGAGGTGAAAGCCGAGATGGTCTGTGTCATGGCAAGGATGAGAAGCAGGAAGCCAAATATACCGTTGCAGACCATGCCTACTCGTGCTTCGGACAGCGCGCGTGTCAATCCTTTCATCGTTTTGTATCCAGAGCGCTCATAGATGATTGGCACGATCAAGAACATTGTGGATGCCAATAAGCTTGCAGCGGCCAAAAAGAGGATCAGACCGGTTAGACCGGAAGGATTGCCGACCCATTTTGACTGTAAGGTTGCCATATATACTGCGATTAGCAGCGTGATGAGACCGAAGAAGACTTGAAGTGCCCGAAGAATCATGTTGACTCGGGCAGTACGATCATCTTGTGCGTGAATAGCAGGTCCTCCGGCTGTGTTGCCGATGCCTTGGCCATAGGGTCCTGCAGGGTCCTGCTGTTCTCCTGCTCCTGAATCCAGCTTTCCCCACACCTTTTTGAGTGACATGAATTCGGGCATCGTGGCGAAGCTTTCTACAGGATTGTCCTGATGGATCCGAGAACTCCTGTTGCGATATGGTCAGTGAGACTCGAAAATGCCGCGTGGTCTTCGATAGCGAGAGACACTGGATCGATAAGCGCCTTGCAATACGGCAGATCACCGGTTTGCGAGAAGCCTAGCTCAACAGCGAGGAGATGTTTAGTGAGATCGTTCCGTCAATCAACGGATGTAGTGAAATAAAGAATGAGGTCGTTAGGGATGATATTAGGAAGGGATGATGGTGGCCATCCGTCAAGAGTGGGAAGGAGCACACAGCCATGAACAGGATCATGCACCTCTCTGCAGAAGCTCCACTTTTGGGAGTGGCTGCATCCCAAACCAGGGTGAGGAGAGCAAGGCCAAGCCTGTACAGAGCACAGCCTGAGCTCACAAACGAACTATCGAAAGGGGTGTTCGGACCCCTAGATGTTGATCAACGCCAACACCGCCCTGATACAGAACACAGCTGTTGCTTGGCTCTCTTTTCTCGCCCTGACGCGCGTGCAGCGAGACTAACACTTTTGAGGTTTTCGTGCGCATGTTAGCTCTTCTCTTCAAACATGTAAAGCTATTTGGTCATCCCGAGTTCCGATCAAAATTTGTCTGACCTCATACCAAAGCCTTCTCAGGGTCCTGTAGAACAGCTCTATTCACCTTGCACCTCGCCTCGATACAACAGCACCGGGATCATCATCAAACATGCATCCTGTAAGCTCGACGTACAGTGGAACCGGCTCGTCAGGTCAGCTTGAAGCGAACCTTGATAGAACTGACAAAAATTTATTCTCATTTCTTGCTTGGTATGAACAGCATCTGGTCGGAGAGAGCAAGCTGCAACGTAAGTTCTCCTCTACCTCGAAGGAGTAGATTCTGACGGCACCCGCCTGACATCTTATAGGCCCCACGCATCTCTATGCTACCGATATATGATCCAACAGACTGCGCACATCTCATTCAAGCGCTGAACGAGTGCCACGCAAAAGGTGTCTGGCACAAGATCACTGGAGGCTGCAATGGCATCAAGCACGATCTCAACATGTGTTTGCGACAGGAGGTGAGCTTCCACACCGACAGCAACCTCGAAAATTGTATAACTCATCGCTGACGCAACTGACTCTTACTGTGTCTCATTGTCATCTGGACAACTTAGCGTGTGGAGCGAACAGCGAACCATGTAAAAGAGTCCAGAGAGAATCGCAAGAAGACGGAGCAAATATGGAAGCAAATTGACCAGGAGTCATGACTACGACGATGTCGAGTACTTGCATCGACTACTCCCCGGGCATCTCTCTACACCTACGCCGCAATCCGTGTACAACAGTTCAATTGTAATACCACCAATTCAGCCCTTGATCACAGATCTGACAGCCGTGCTTGGCCAGTTGTACGAAAACTGGCTTGCTCACATTCGTCTCGCACAGACAAGGGCATCAATGAGGTCACAGACTAGTTTAACGTTGGATCGCATCAATCGCCGATTGAATATTGTCTGAGATTGCCTCCTTCGTGTATGGGCAGGAATGAAATCCGACAAGTCAAAGAACAAAGGCAGACCAATACAGAAAGACTAGGGATGAAACATAGTACAGAGAGATGGAGACAAAAGAGACCCAAGAAAGTTCCCATAAAGGTTTCAACGGATAGGACCACCCCTCGCCGGATCCTGAGCCCCACTGCCGCCCCTTCCATCCTCGAATGCGAATCCCTGCAGATCTTCTAGCGATACGACAACAAGTGCGCGCTGGTGGGTAGCATCCAACTTGACCTTGGGCACCCCCTCCTTGGGCAGCTCACCGCGCTTGAAAGCGTCAAAGCTCTGCTTCCACCTCGAGACGCAAAGACACCATGGGCAGCCTTCTGAAAGGATAGGTCGGAGATCGTTGCCCTTGGACGCGGAGAATTCGAGCCATTTCTGCGATACCACTGCTGCAACTGTGTGCGATCCACCATCTGCTGGGCCTGTGTTGCAGTACTGTTGCAGCCAAAGTCAGCAGAACAAAAGAAGGAAAAAGTCAGCAGTTGAAGATGCGTCGGCATCTCAAGTAAGATGCACATGTTACGGCCGAGACATTGAGACACGGGAGGCTCACGTAAGCGAGAAGTACAATGAGGTACGTAATTGTTGTCATGGTGACAGCACAGTGGCACCCGGTATCATAGCAACACAGGAGTACAAATGAAGAGACACATCCTGCCTCGAATAGGACCAGAGCAGTGAATGGAGTATATATATGTGTTTGTCATTCAGTCTCACATCATGAAAACCAAGCATTACATAGAACATACGGCTGTGGTAAAGGGAGTCTGATCGTGACCCCGATAACGCCGTATATTAATTGTTATCTTCATTTGATTAAGAGTCTGAAGAAGCTATCACCGAGCTAACCGAAACTCGCCGACAACCATGGTAGAAGACACCGAAACGAGGACCAAAGGAGGCAGAAAAGGCAAGAACACCCAGGTTCGGGTCGATAATAATGCCACGAGCGAGAACGAGCCGGAGGCCATCAATGATGAAGCCGACGAAGACACCGATTCCGACTCCGACTTTGATGATGGTGACAAGCGATATAACTTTCGCACCCTAGCAAAGCTCCTCGAACCCGTGCCAAAGCTCACGTCACGAAACTATCATAGCTGGAGCGCCCACGTGAAATCTTTCCTCCGATCCGTGCCTCATGCGATGAAACATCTCGAGGGAACGTACGACAAGAAACACCCGAAATGGAGCCGCTCCCTCGACGATGCTTTAATCAACGCCCTGCGTGGAACAATCGACACTACCGGAGAACACAATGTAAATTACCTCGTTCTAGATGTAATCAAGGAGTACCTTACTTTCAACCAAGTGTGGAGAAAGATCGAAAACGGTCTCACGAATGAAGCCACCAAGACGTCTCACAGACTTGCGCTTATCTCGCAACTCAACGATACAAAGATGTTTAACTCGGACGCCAGAAAGCTAATTCAAGAGATCCGGTCCATACAAACCGAAAGCAGCCTCCTCGGCAAACCATTCGCCGATGATACATTGTTCTCGGCTCTGCAGAAATGCACGATCCGGCATCCGGTGTACAAGGAGACGGTTGCCACCGTCCATCAAATCGATTTCAACGCCCTTGCCACCGCACTAAGCATCCGGCAGACCGCTGTCGAGAGCGTCCCCGCACAAAGGATCGACCCTCGACAAGCCAGTGCTAGAACCGCCGGCAACGACGATCAAAACAAACGGGCCGGAGAGACCGAAGCCGAAGCCGACAACAGCCACGCGAGCTCGAGGAACGCAAGCAAGTCACGCCGAATCCGATGCTGGGTCTGCAAGCGACCGGGACATGGTATCAGTCAATGCGACGCCTTGGTTACCATTCCCAAGGACTCCCCCCTCGCTGAACCTAAATAGGAAGCGTGGTGCTCCCTCACCCTCCCAATGAAATGGCAGGACCCCTCGAACACAAAAGAAACAGCTCATTGGATCTTGGACTCGGGGGCGAGTTACCATATGGTGAACGACTACAGCATGCTCATCCACCCGAGAACTTGCCGAAAGCGGATAATTACCGCCGGAAGCGAGGTCTTGGAAGCGGCAGCTATAGGAGATGCAAGCATATCAACAGATTACGGGGAAATCTCTCTGCAAAATGTATTGTATGTAAAGCACCTTAATGTTAACCTTCTGTCAACAAATTCATTAACGGATGAAGGAGCACGAGTGATATTGGACACAACCGGCGGCCAAATTTTTCTAACAAACGGCATGACACTTAAGATTGCAAAGAATCGCGAGCGAGGACTTCTGGAGTTCCGAGGCGACACATGGCAAGAAAGCGCGATGGCCACATCAGCACCATTGTTTGAAGGTGTTGATGAGGAGTTCGAGCATATTGAGAATGAGCCGAAAGTTTCAAAACAACAACTATGGCATGAGCGTCTCGGGCACCCAGGAAGAGATAAAGCTAAGGCGATCACAACCAAGTTAAAGGATAAGCATACCATGAAATTGGATCCAAACACCGCTCTGACGTGTGAGCAGTGCGTACGATCCAAGAGCACAAGCGCTCGGATGGGGAAAGGTAGCGGCGAAAGAGCCGTAGAGCCCCTGGATCTTATCCACGTCGATCTAATAATAGACTCGTCCCACGTGACGGAGTACACATGCACGTTGGTGCTGGTCGACGATCATAGCAAGTATGTGTATGCACAGCCATTGACACGAAAGAGTCATGCCTTTATGCAACTCAAAAGGATTGTTTCGTTCCTGGAGACACAGACGGATCGGAAGCTAAAAGCGATCCGATCCGATCAAGGAACGGAATGGAAAAGCAATGATGCATTAGAATGGTCGTTAGAAAAGGGCATAGAGTGGCAAACCACCGTAGGGTACAACAGCAAACAAAATGGACGGGTAGAAAGAATGAACAGGACCCTTGGAGAGAAGATGAGAACGTTGCTAATGCAGAGGAGACTACCGAAGAAGTTCTGGCCATACGCGATCAGAGCTGCGGCGTTCAAAATAAACCTCACTCCGAGCGTTGATAATGAATTCCCTTATCAAGCGATGTTTGGCAAGTCGCCGGAACGAGCTTTAAAGCTCCTACGAGTGTTTGGTTGTCTGGCATGGGTAAACGTACCCAAAGTTAAACGGGACAACAAGAAACTGGACCAGCGAGCCGTCGCATCCATTTTCTTAGGGTACAGTCTAGAAAGGAAGGGCTGGCTCTTCTACAGCCCGGACTACAATCCGAACATCTTCTGGAGCAACTCAGCAAAATTCATGGAATCAAAGTGCTGGTCAGACAGAACAGAGTGGCGACCGGTTGACACAAAGGCACCCCCAATGATGATGACAGAGGAAAATTTCGAAGATCTAGGATACAATAAAGAAAATATATTCGACGAAACAGATGAAGAGCCACTACGAGAATACATGGATATGGAGACAGATTCGGAAGAAAGATTAAGCGAAGGAACAGCGGAGGTGATGGAACAAGGACCAATCGCCGAAACTCAAATTGACAGCGAATTCTATGGACTCGTAGCGACGCGACCGGAATGGAGAAAGAACCTGGACCCAACCATACATGAAGCAATGAGTGGAAAGGACAGAAAACACTGGGAGGAGGCCATGCGAAAGGAGCTGGATGGATTGGAGGCGATGGGCACATGGGAGATAGTCGACCTCCCAAAGGGTGCAAATACTGTCGACACACGTTGGGTACTCAAGATCAAAACCGATGCAAACCTCGTGCTGACAAAGTTCAAAGCCCGGCTCGTGGCACGAGGTTTCACTCAATGCGAGGGCATCGACTATACAGAGGTCTTCGCACCAGTAGCACCCATCCAATCCATTCGAGGGGTGATCGCTGTCGCAGCAGTACGAGATTGGGAAATGGATTCTATCGATGTAAAGCAAGCGTACCTGAACTCCACTATACACCATGATGTATACCTCAAGCCCCCAGTAGGAATCGAAATGCCACCCGGAAAAGTGTTGAAGGTAGTGAAAGGACTGTACGGTCTGAAACAATCGGGCCGAGAATGGAACATTGAGTTAGACTCACATCTCCGGACGATCGGATTCCATTGCATGCCGAGCGCACCATGCCTATACTCAAGAGGGACAGGCGACAAGATCACGATCATCACAGCATACGTGGACGACATGCTAATAACATCACCCAGTCGTGATGAAGTAGATCGCGCAAAGCGAGAGATCATGGACAAATGGGAGACGCAAGACAATGGAAGGGTCAAAGAATTTCTGGGTATCAAGATCACACGTGATAGAAGACAGAGGAGGATATCTCTGGGTCTAACGGCATACATCAAGGAAATGGTGAACAAATGGTTAGGAGGAGCAAACGAGAAATCTTGGGTACCCATGCTGAGTGTAGCGAACGTTGCCGGAGGCGAGCGATGTGAACCTCAGCGAGCAAAGAAGTATCAAGAATTGGTCGGCCAACTATTATGGGTCTCCAACACAGCCCGACCAGATATTGCCTTTGCCGTCGGCGTATTGGCGCGATATATGTCGATCCCGATCGACAGTGCATGGAAGGCAGCCATCCACGTGGTAAAGTACCTGAACCAAACGAACGAATATCAGTTGCACCTAGGAGGGGAGACAAACGAGCACTTGGATACACCGGTAACGACGTATACCGACGCAAACTGGGCATCCGACCCCACAAATGGACGAAGAAGCATCTCGGGGTCGATAACATATGTATATGGGTGTCCAGTGAGTTGGAAATCACACGTTCAGAAGTGTGTGGCATTGTCGGCAGTCGAAGCAGAGTTTGTCGCCGCTTCCGAAGCGGTACGAGAAACCTTATTCTTCTCATATTTGCTCCGGGATTTGGAGACCACGGACGTTCGGCCCGTACTATACACAGATAGCCAGGGGTGCATACAGGTGAGTAAAGATCCAGCCAAACATTGGAAGTTAAAGCACATCGACACACGGTATCATTTCGTTCGCGATCACGTACAAGAGGGCGATGTGGAAATCAAATATGTCGGAACGGCAAACAACGTTGCAGATGTCTTGACAAAACCCTTACAGGGTCTTAACACCTCACGATTGGCTAGGATGATAGGACTGGAGATCCCGCCGAAGGGGGGAGTTGAAGATGCGTCGGCATCTCAAGTAAGATGCACATGTTACGGCCGAGACATTGAGACACGGGAGGCTCACGTAAGCGAGAAGTACAATGAGGTACGTAATTGTTGTCATGGTGACAGCACAGTGGCACCCGGTATCATAGCAACACAGGAGTACAAATGAAGAGACACATCCTGCCTCGAATAGGACCAGAGCAGTGAATGGAGTATATATATGTGTTTGTCATTCAGTCTCACATCATGAAAACCAAGCATTACATAGAACATACGGCTGTGGTAAAGGGAGTCTGATCGTGACCCCGATAACGCCGTATATTAATTGTTATCTTCATTTTCAGCACAATCCTGTTACTTTGCCATGATTGAAACCTCGTCAATGATATGTTATGACTTACGCCATCTCGGTAAAACCCAGTCATTGGGTTAGTGCCGCACTGCGTCAAAGGACGGCCGAACACATTGAGAGGTCGATCCATCTTGAATGGATGATCGAATTCACCGCTACCGC